TCTTTCCCTCTTCTTTCCTCTTCCTTTTCCCCTCCCTCCCCCTCTCCTTTTCTTTTTCCTTAATCTTCTTCTCCACCTCCTTTTTATCTTTCTCCTCCTTTCCTTTTCCCCATATTTTCTTTCTCCGGCCCCTTTCCCTTCTCTCTTCACTTTCCCCCTCTCCATCCCCACCACCCTTGTTTCCGTCCCTCCTCCCACGCGCCCACGCGCTGGAGCTGCGGCTAGGGGTCCCGGCAGGAGTGGCCCCTGCGGGGGGCACAGGGAGTAGACGCAGGTCCACGCGGCGTACAGCACCCCCGCGGTCACCGCGCGGCCGCCAACACCCCGGCCCCGAGGGGCGACGGCTGCAGTCCGGCACCTCGCGCTCGCTCGTCCGCCGGGGGCTGCGTGCAGCAGATTCGCCGAGTGCTTGAGGCGCACCAGAGGATGCCCGCCTTCCCATCGTCAGTAGTCAGAAGCCTGGAGAGTGAAGTTAGGGATCTCTTCGCACTCCGTCCTGTTTAAGTCCACCAGCAGCGTCTGGAGACGCTAACCAGGATGCTTAAGGAAAAACAGGAATGTGAATGGTTCCCTTATTTTAAGTGTTACATTTCGCTTAAAATTTTTCTTCTCTGGAGATCAGTCTGCCAGGATCACAGATACTGGTAATACTGGGTATTAAAACCACAACTAAACAAAATAGCCTAGTCGCTCCCACTGATCTAATATGTAACAAATTAGGTACCCACGGGGCTTTTCAAAGGTGGTGTAACGTTGCTTACACTGCTTGAAAAGTATATGGATGGTTCTTTTTTATTATTTTGTTAAATTGGACCCTTTAGTACAGTTTACAATCTAACAAAATTATCTTAATGCAATAAACTGACTTACCTTCATCAGATCTACATTTCAAACAGGCTTAAAGGAAACAACAAATGAACTGCAGGTTTCAGAAAGCTTCAGTGATGCAACAGTTTTTAAGTAGTTCTTAAGGTTAGCAGTTTCCAAGCAGTCTTGAAAATGCTATGCTTAAAAACTGAAAAAATGTTTACTCCTCAATTTGTTTATATACAGATATCAACATGATGAATTTTCAGTCAAGTTAAAACTGGGTTCTCTCAATCCCATTACTTTAGTTTTCCCATTTTGGGGGGAGAGGCAGGGGATAATTTTAGATACTCAGCTTAAAAAATTCTTAGATATACTAACAGAAGTCCTCTGTAAAATGCCAACACCCCAGAACACCTTAATCCATACTCACTGCTAGATTATTTTATATTAAAATGTGCTACAGTGAATGGATGTATTCATATTGGCTTTTATAAATGCACACACACACACACACACACACACACATATACACAAAGTATATAGGTCACTGGTTAAAGACCTGTCCAAAAGAATAATTACTAGAAAGTTAATGTAGGTGTTTACACTTCATTTGACAATTACAATTTATTTGAACTGAGGTTTCAGTTGCTTAGTAATGACTGATAATAACAACTGGCAATTACAATGACTTAAATAGAGAACTATAAATTTCTCTGTGTGCCTTGGGTCAAAATTTTCATTGGCGGATAATTTTCACCAAAATTCTGTAGCTTAGTTAACCTAAAAAATGATTATCCTTCACCACAGAAATTTAATGGAATCCTAAAATCATAAATTTACTAACAATTATTTTTGTAATGGGGTTTATATTCAGAAGGAATAAATATCTGTCACTTACCAAAAGACTGTTCTGAGAGCTCAAAAAGTATAATGCCATAATAAATCATTCATATATGAAGGTCTCTTGTTTAGTAGCTACCACAGTTTATGTTAAACAGAAAGGCAGCACCACATTTCTTACTCTTGTAAAGGAGGAAAGCCTTTTAAAAAAACTCTTTGAAGAAGTTTCAGTAGATATGTTCAGAGTCAAACACAGCAGCACTTTATTAACAAGGACAGAACAATATGATCACAAGGAAATACTCATAAGTCTAAACGGAATGCTATCTTGGGCAGCATAAAAGGAATACTAACAAGTGTAGGCATCCCAGTGTGTCTGTCTCACACCTGTTCAATGGGAAGGTGACTCGTAAGCAAGGCAAGAACAGAGCGACACTGATACCACACACTGACTACAATACTTCATTGCTTTGAGAAGGGTAGTGAATGGTCATACCCCCAACTAGAAAGAGGAGTCATTTGAGACCTATCAATTGGGCCAACAGTTCTGTTAAGCTTTAATACTGCCTACTCCTGAACTCTGGTATTGACTTCCTCTCTATGTAGGAAGTCAATGTTCATGCTCTTGATAGGGGCTGTTTAAATCTTTCTGATTTCTGACAAATCCATCTGACCTCAGAACACTGGGTCTAAGAGTCAACTTCTTGCAACATCGATGTCTTTCCCTTGAGATCTTTAATAGGGCTAAATCAGCATAATGTTATCATAATTTGAAAATGACATGGGGGCACAAAAAAGTCCTAATTTATATACATGTGCATAGATGTATACACATACTTTTCATTACTATATATATATATATATATATATATATATATATATATATATATATATATATATATAAGAAAAACTGTTATTTTCTGAGCATATATTTTTCTTCTATATATATATATATATATATATATATATATATATATATATACATATATTTATATATATAGCATCCCATATTCCAGTATCACATAGCAGAGAGAATTTACAGTCAGAATAATCAAGACATTTAATTTAGTTTTCCTGTGGCCACTCATGTAGTGAACTGAAAAATACCAGTGTATTAATAAGGTCCCTTTTTATTACATGCTATTTCTAAGCAGGTATTTGGAATGCTCAGAAGACTCCACTTTCAGTCTCCTAAGGCCTCCTAAGACATAATTTAAAGTGGGACTTGATAGAACAAATATCTTTGCACTCCAGTTGAAACAGAAGTAGTTTCTGTTTATATCCTAGGAAACCTTGGATAACATGCCTTGTTTGTGAAATTGAAAAAAACAGCAGATTAGCACACAAAGAGAAAGGATGCAACAGATATCAAAGTGGGTAAATGCCCAACTATTCTGAGCCCTCCTCATCTGTGCAAAGCAAGGTGGTACAAGTAGGCCAAGTCTGACTGGGCAGAGTTTGAGGAAGATGCTTTTGTTTGACGCACAAGAAAATAATTTTATGAAAATGTGGGGATGGGAGAGGGAGCAGCTCTGTGCTTCTTGCTGTGTTACCTTTATTATGTTCCCAGTGTCACTGAGACTAGTTTAAAAATAGCCTACAAAAAGAATGTTCTAATCACCAGCCACCTTTTCCACCTTTCTTCTTTTTCTGTTGCTGTTTCTTTTTTGTTGCTGGAGCCCCTGCAGGTTTCTGGTGTCTTGGGGGTATGATATTACTTGTAGACGTAGATGCTGTTGCTGCGCTGCCAGGTCGTGGGGAGGTGGGTGGGCTGCTCACAGTTTTACTGGCATCCCTGAAATCATCAGATCAGGAAAGTGTTGGTCATTCATATATTCAACAAAGGAAAAGGCTATAAAAATGTATGTACATGGATTTCACTTTCCACCTCTCACAATCTCCCACAAACATTTTCTTTTTCTTCCTTTCTTTCTTTTTTGGCCACGCCACATGGCATGCGGGATCTTGGTTCCCCGATCAGGGTTGGCATGTGTGATCTTGGTTCCCAGACCAGGGATGGAACCCGTGTCCCCTGCAGTGCCTCCGAGCTTGGAGTCTTAACCACTGGACTGTGTGGAAGTTCCCATACATATTTTCTTTTAAGGTGCGTTACCCAACTCCCTATCCATTTTTCTTTTGAATAAAATTTTTACTGCGTTATAATTTTTAAAAATGTAATAGATGGTACATATCAATTTTTAGAAAGCTTAGAAAATAAAGGAAAAAAAAACTTTTGACGACCTATAATCCTTCCATGTAGAAATAACTGATTTAGTAACATTTTAGATTCTGCTTTCTAGTCAAATTATTTATTTATATCTGTTTCTCTAGATATTTAGTTAGTTGAATTACTCAGTGTATATAGTTTCCTTTTGAAGGTACTGTAATCCTAACATCTGCAATACAATCCTACGATTCTAGTATTTACAATACAACCAAGCCAGAAACAGCATGTTTTCTTTCCTTTACATAAGCATATTACAAAACATTTATTAAAGATATCTGACTATACTTCTCATACTGAAAACATATTTCAAAAATTCTTAGTGATGACCCTGAGTCAATCTCAGAAAGAAGCAACCTATGCTCTGAGGACTGGGAAGCAATGACTTACAGCTCAGATGAAGCTCCTACAGTTGCTCCCTGGGTCCCTTTTCCAATCTGATCCTTCTTTTTACCCTTCTTTCTTCCTCGGTAGTAAGAACGTTCACGCATTGGTAGCCATCTTTCTGGATCTGGGGTCACTTTTGGGTCATAATTTTTAGGCAGTTTTCCTGTGTAACAATTAATTGATAAAGAAATGAGAGATCTGTCCATAATGTTTTCGAGATAGTTTGTTTAAACACTGTGTCCAAACCTGGGAATAAATAACATTAAAACTGAAATAAACTTATCTGAGAAAGTTTTATTTGTATAATCTAGCAGCGGAAAAAGGACTTATTTCTAAGCATGATACAAAATTCAGAAGGCATAAAAAGATTTCATAGATGTATCTGTATAAAAAAATTTTAATTTTCATTTGGTAAAAGATAATTTTTAAGAGAAATAACAAAACAAGAAAACATTTGCGTACTATGTAACCGAGTTAATATTCTTAATATAGAATGAGTTCTTGATAATCAGTAGGTAAATCATGTAAAGAAAATGTGCATAGCTGTAGTTAGAGTAAGCCAAGAGAAATAAAAGTCATTAACCATGTGAAAAGATGCATGACCTCACTAATTAAAAATAATAAGGATAGGGGAGTTCCCTGGTGGCCTAGTGGTTAGGATTCCAGGCTTTCACTGCCGTGGCCCAGGTTGAATCCTTGGTCAGGGAACTGAGATCCCATAAGCTGTGCAGCATGGCCCCCCACCCCGCCAAAAAAAACTAAAGGATGAAAAATTCTATATTAAAAAGTGTAATATGCAGTGTTTGTGAGATACTGAACAACTCTCAAACACTATGGCAGAAGTATATACTAGTATAGTCTCTGTAGAGAGCAAATAATTGGCAGTACCAGTCAAAATTTATACTTTTAGTAATTTATCCTGCAGAAACTCCTAAGTCACAAAGCTATATATGTGTAAGAATACTCTCTGTGATATTCTTGAAAACAGCAAATTAACTTAAATGTCTATCAATAAGAGAATGATTAAATATAGTATCCCCATACTACAGCAAGCTATAAAACTGAGTTAAAAAATGAAGTACATCTATATTTAATAATTTGGAAAAATGCACAATATAGTCTAAAGTAGAAGATTAAAACAAGTTATCCTGATTTGTTTATATCAGTTTTGTAAAAATATTAATTGAGCATGTAAATGTGTATGTGTTTCTATATACAAAAGAAGTTAAGTAATTTTATCTCCAGGAGAATGAATTTGGGGTAGGGAATTTTCCATTCTTTATGCCATTCTATAATGACAGAAGTCTGTTACCTTTATGTTGTTTTTATTTTCTTTTGTTTTTATAATGAGCAGATCTCTTGTAAATTAAAAAAATACTCATCTGGAAACCACAAAAACAGAAAAGAAACTGAAACTGGAGGTTACTGATACCTACAGTTATCAGCTATTTCGCTATTTCCTTGCAGTATTACTAATAAATAAAACAACATGAAACAAATACTTTAGTTTTTACCAATTTCCAAGTACAGTGATAAAAGTGAAGAACTAGTAAGACTTGTAGGTAAAGACAGTGGAGTGAATGCAACACTGGCTTCTGCACTATCCAAAACTCCACTAAAATAGTAATAAACCCATTAAAAGGAAGAATAGGAGAAAAGATATTTTCAGTAAAATTCTAGAAGCTGGAAAACAGATGGAGGAGTGGTAATAAATTTAGCAGATCTGGGAAACCTGAATCCTTGATTTTGCACTAAGCAAAATCAAGAAGCAAACTGATTTATACCACAGATTTCCCAAAGACTCGGGAACAGGTAGGTGGCTCCAGGGATATCCTCTGACTAGTTGAAGCCAAGCATGGTAATTCCACCCTCTCTTGCCATGGATTAAAACAGGTAAGCCAATCAATGCATGGCATTCCTCTGGTTAATGGTTCAGGGCTGGACACTGACCTATATTGGCCCAATCAGGTGAATGGGAAAGACTTGCCAAATGCAGAGGCTCTCTTTACACCCTGCTGGATATAAATAACAAGTATATGGCTCTGTTTCCAACAAATATCTGATTACTCGAGTGGGATTCATTTTTGTGTACAGGAGAACAAAGAGATACAACTATTGGATAAACTAACCCTGATATAACCTTCCTCTACACTGCCAGTTTCATAAACAGTAAATTTTCTTAAGCCAGTTTCATGGAGTTCTACGGTACTTGTAGTCAAAAGCACTCTAATGTAGAATAGCTTACTGTGTGCCAGGCACTATTCTAAGAGCTTTACATGTAGTATCTTATTTAATCCTATGAGGTATATACTATCATATTCCACCTTACAGATGAAAAACTCAGGAAGGTATGTTAACCTGTTCACAGTCACAGTGACAAAGAGCAATGTTACTAGAGCAACAATTTGAATTCAGGCACTCATAAACTTCAGAATTGCACTCTTTAAAGTTATAAATTTAAGTAAATGTTAGCTATAGTCAAGACAAAACTCAGTTTCAAAGATATGAGAGTTTATGTCTGAAGATTTCTATGTAAGGCCAAACTCAAGCTTTTACCTTATAGAAAGAAATCTAAAGATTAAAAAAAAAAAGCCTTACCCTTCTTTTTTTTCTTCTTTTTTTTCAAGTCTCCCTGTCTACAAAGAGAAGAAAAATCATTATCATCATTGTGATAAAATATTTATAGAGCATGTGCAAAAGAGTGAGCTGGGTACTTTGTCATAAAGGTGTTTAAGATTTGGCGTCACCTCACCAAAGCTAATAAACCAGTTGGGATATTAATTCAGGTTAAATTTAATCAAGCTTCAAACACCGTTACTTTTTGAAAGGTGTTTTAGAAAAGAGGGGTGACAACTGTTTTAAGAAAATAGATAACATTTACACTGGCACATATTAAGTCTATGTAAAAAGGTAAGAAATCTGTACAAGCACAAAAATCTATAGTTCTGTGCTAAGTTGCCTTATATTTGGCAAAACTATAAAACAGATAATTTAAACTCTTTGCCAGAAGAACATGTAAAGGTATCATACATACAAAGAATATTTCTGGGAGGATATGCAAGACAAGTAACATTGGTTGTGGCCTTGGGTGGGAAGAGGGCAGACAGGGGTGGGAGTAAGACTGTACTTTTTTAATCTTTTAGGCTTTGAACCCTGTGAGTTTATTGAATTTTTTAAGTTAGTAAAATCTTTATTAAGTACACTGACAAAAAATAAATAAAGGTATTGAAAGAGCATAAAAAGTCAGGGGAATACTTCAAAATAACTATTAAGTACTCTGACAGCTACAGTAGAAAAGAGGAAGACATTAAAAAAATCCCTCTGAGGGCTTCCCTGGTGGCGCAGTGGTTAAGAGTCCGCCTGCCAATGCAGGGGACACGGGTTCGTGCCCTGGTCCGGGAAGATCCCGCATGCCGTGGAGCGGCTGGGCCCCTGAGCCATGGCCTCTGAGCCTGCGTGTCCGGAGCCTGTGCTCCGCAACGGGAGAGGCCACAGCAGGGAGAGGCCCGCATACCGCAAAAAAAAAAAAAAAAAATCCCTCTGGATATACTCATGTGATATACCTCTATGGGAACTATGAAACAGTGAACTAAAAAGATAAGACAGCAACAATGTCTGCCCAAATTTCATTCTACCAAGTCATTCAATTGTGAAAGTTCTTTTAGGGTACCCTGAAGAATAAGAAATGCAACATACAGCATCTTACTTTAGAGCTTCATCTCTCACTCAGACTATGCAACAGTCTTCTGAATTGTCTCCCTACAAATCATACCACACAGCCATATCTGCAATTTCCTAAGACTCTCTGCCATTTCTTACTTCTTTGCCTTTGCTCACATTCTGCCCATCTCATCCTCATCTTCCTCCAGAGTCAACACAGTCACCTCTTCCATGAAGCCTCTTCTATCCTCCCACCGTCCCCAAGAAGGACTGACTATTCCCTCTGGTGTACTCCTCTATGCTTGCACAATCACAGCACGTGCAACCTTTATTTCAATTACTGCTTAAGTATATTTCCTTCTGCTAGACTGAAGTTTTTTTCAGGGCAAGGACAATGATTTATTTTTGTCACCAACATAGTGTTAACTTCAAAAGAAACTAAACCTTTTTATGTATCCAAAAGTCAACATAAAATGAAAGACATTAATAATGCCTAATGAAAATACTGTGCTGAAACTGAGAAGCTTTAAAGTCAATGTACATCTTAATAATTGTCTAATGGAAAAGATAAAGACGATTAAAGGATTAGAAAAGAACTGTATGTTCTTACTAATTACCCAGCCCTGTTTTGGAAAAGGAAAAAAAAAATTACTGAAAATATTTAAATACACATTGTATGAAAATCTCCTAAGACCTGGCTTGAATTCGTTATTTTGGAGTTCTTGATAAGGCTTGAAATTGGAATCATGATAAAATGAAATTTGGAACAATGTAATATCTCTGAGACTCCAATTTCTTATTTAACTTTTAAAAATCTATTATGAGAATGGTAATACCTTTTTAACAAACACAGAGTTCATAATGAAGTCAATCATATACTGTTGCTGATATATATATATTTTTAATTATGAAAAATTAGATTTCAAAAGTCATTCAAAAAAAGAGAAAACTGAAAAATTATGAAACTCACAAAACTGGGGAAGTGCTATATCTCTTCCATTCTCTATTCATCCCGAGTCAAAAACAGAAGCTTAAAACAGTTTATTTAGTAGGCCTCTGCTATTTTTGAGATGACAATGTACGAGAACAAGAAAAGAATTGGAATTTGACTTCTTGTAAGTTATTGAAGCTGGCTAACTTTCCTCCAAATCAGCAAAATAAACCTTATCTGAAATTTGGTCTAGAATTCTAAATGATGTACTAAATGTACATCAATATCTCACAGGTAAATAAAGACACATCCAGCCTATGGAATACTATGCATAAAAAGAATAAAATATGTCTACATTGAGAATATGGAAAAATCTCTAAGACATCAAATGAACGAAAATTCGAAGACAGTTAAATACAACATAATACCATTTCTATAAAAAAAATCTAATCTAAGAAAAGTATTTCTACATCAGCTCTGTGTGCAAACACAAAGAAAAAGATCTGGAAGTAAACACACTAAATTAGTATCAGAGGTAAACTGTGGGTGGGGAGGAGGAAGGGAAACAAGGACAAAAAGCTGGGCACAGCACAAGAGAAGGGAAGAGAAACAAAGTGGACTTAAACTTTATTCACGTGGAATTTTTACGAGAGTGCATTTTTTATTCCTTATATAACTTAAAATCAGCATTAGTGAATGTTACAATGAAAAACATTACCCTTGCTCCTTTGGTTGACTATCTCCAGCAACTTTTCCACCCTTCTTCCGAATGTACGTAGCACCAGGAGAATTTTCAAGAGCCTCAACATCTACTTTTAGAGACATACTATCTGATGAAGGCAAGTGTTTACTAAGGCTGGGATAGAACAAGAGTTCAGGAACACAATATATATACATATATATGTTTGGATCTATCACTGTATTTTTCAGGCACATTGATCAATAAATTCTAATTTTTGCTTTTACTAGTTAGAGGAGGGGTTTTGTTTGTTGAAATTTATAACAAAAAAGCCCTGGTCAAAACAGGTAAGGGAAGGGATTTATTGCACTACTTGCGAGCTGTCTAGAACAATCAAAAGGATACGCTTTTGCCTTCTCAGGATCTACAAGTGAGTAAGCAGAAATAAGCTGTGCCAGGGTGTGAATATCTTTTGGATTTTGTCTAAAAGAAGAAATAAGAAAGTCACTAAACAGTTTATAAAACTGGAGAAAGTAACATAAACAAGCAAAATAACTCCCTCATATCAAATAAAACTTGGATTTCTGCACCTCCACCTTTCAGAGCTTACTTCCATAGCTGTTCTAGGTCACTAATTGCCTCCTTCTTCCGTCCATATTTGAGTTTGAAGTTTGCAGCTTCTCTTATCAAGGACAAATGAGCAGGAGATTTGGGCTACAGGTTCAATAAAGAAAGAAAAAAAGTTTTAAGCTAAATATCTAGCAAGTCAATGAAGTTATATTCATTAGATCTTTAAAATGGACCTATCCATTAGATTACTCATCTTAAGTTTTACTGAATGCATGAAACAACAAAAAGAAACTCACACACACACACACACACACACACACACACACACACACACACAGGGACAGACAAATTAGTACAAGTGAAGACCAATTTATGAATTTGGTATACAACCCATCTCTATTTAGATTGTCTTGTCTACAACTAGAAATATTGCATAACCAAATCTTAAAGTTACATCACTATAGTTCTCAAACATTAATTTGACACGATACTTCCAGGAACACTGATATCTCTTCACTGCTAATAGTGCTAACAGTATTAATGCCCCCTGTGTGTATGTATATCTATAAGTTGGATATTGCCTATGCAAAGACCCATACTGGAAAAACTGAAGATGTTCCTATTAGATAGAGATATACAATTATTCTATGTACTGCTGTTCTACCAAGTACTACCATCCATGGGCTCTCTAGCCACTAAAGATGAGCTGTCTTATACACAAGCACGTACAATTAATATTCTTATTTCTTGAGATTACACACACAAACACACATACATACACTCAGGAAGGAGCTTCAGAAAATATAACTGGGCTTTTTTTTTTCGTAGCCATTTCTTTCTTCTAATAACGTTATTTGGATCTGGTATACTTAAAAACTGAGTGACAGTCTAACAGCATTCCATTTTTTAAACATTGAGTTTAAATGCTTCAATTCTTAATTTTGAGTTCACTGCTGCAGCTTTTTATTCTTATGCAAAAATGTACCCTCATAACATTTTACTCCATCTTTTTACCTGACGGTTTTGATACCACTGGATAGCTTGTGTGAAGACCTCAATGGCACTGTCAATATCTTCCTCATGGCTGTACATTGTCACTAATGCAGACACCTACCCAGCCAAAGGTATAAATTAGTGAACAGAATTCCTCCTTCTCTCTCAGAATAGACTTTTTGAAAATGAATAAAGTTAAAGAAACAGCAAATAAAGGTTGCTAGGCTCTGTGCTAGTACCTAATTCATCATAAAAATTGCTAATGCATAACTAGAAATACCATGAACAACAATGGTGTTTTCCAAACACAAAGGTGATTATCTGTAAAAAAAAAAAAAAAATTCCCTCCCCTAAAGCTCATTCACAAATGGTTTGTTACCAGTACAGAACAAGGTAAATACAGAAGTTGAGAAGAAGCACTTAGAAAATTAGTTTATATGATCACTGAGGTACACACACTAGAGGCTAAACTTGCATGTGGCCTCCACTACATGAAGCCAGTGAAAGCTTGCCTAGTGTGTTGGAGGGACAGCAAAGAGGCCCATGTAACTGGAGTGGAGTGACAGGGGGAGGAGGCATAGGCAGATGAGGACAAAAAGGAAACAGAAACAAAAAGCCAGATTATTGAGAAAAATCAATAAAATTAACAAACCTCTGGCTAGACTAATTAGAAAAAAAAGATAATAGGAACAAAATGTCCTACAGATATTAAAAGGATAAACAGGGAATATCTGAACAACTTTCATGCCAATAAATCCAACAACCTAGATGAAAGAGTATTGTTAGCCAGATATATTTGATTCTAACATAATCACAGCCCAGTCTTAAAGTATGATTCTTCAAAAGAGAAAACACTACCATAATATTATTATACATTTATTGAGTGCCATTTGTAAACAAGCTGTGTTGGAAAATGAAACAGTCCCTGTACAATAAATGTACATACCACCACTACAGAATGTTTTTACTTTGAAACAGATGTGCTCACAGCTATATTAGTGATCTAAACCTGTGATGCTTGAATAATCAGAGAACTAAAAACTAAATTCGTAGGCCGTTATTACCAAATTGTTTTAAATCAAAGAAATCACACTGAAGACATGATAAAATAATAGGCTAAGAAATTCCCTATATATGTCTTAGGATATTTAAGGTTGGCTTTCAAGTGGTAATATAAGGCCTAAACAGTTCCTGACACATTTGACTAAATAATAAATCAATGCAAAGCAGAGCATAAAATGTAATTAAATTTACACCAGAAAGCTATTATTTTAACTACAACTTCTACATTTTGAATAAAGAAATAAGCAGAAATTAAAGTGAAAACAAAGAAATATCAGACATACCAATGAACTATTAATTCCATTACTTTTTCAGTCTTAAAATATTTTAGTTATAAACTCACCATGCCTGGTTTATGTTTTAACTCCTCTATGCTTCTCAATAACAAACATGCTTTGGAAATATTACCTTAATAGAATAAAAACAAAATCAGCATCACATTGAAGAAAGCATCTCATGGAGGAAAAAAAGATAAAAAATTTAAGAGTCATATTTTGTAACATCTCTAAACACTCAAGCTTTAGGACCTTGGGAATAACGTATTCTGTTTATTCATTTTACAAACAAAGGAAATTAAATCCTAAAGAAACAAATATCTTGCTTATGCCCACAAAGTTAATGGCAGAGCTGCTACCAGAAAAGAAGTCTCCCAGCTCCCAATCTGTTGAGTTCTATTTCTCCCTTTTCAGAGTGTAACTTAAAGGTAGGAGTCCTTCCATAAAGGCCTTGAAATTGTTACTGTAGATATGAGTGCAATGGATAGTTTCCTACAATGTTAAAGTCTGATTTTCTACTCATTGAAAACCTCAATAACAAACCTTCCAAAGTCTTTAAAGACAAAACAAAACAATAACCATAACAGTCTCATTCTCAGTAATATTAGTATGATAAATAATCCTCACAAAAATAAACTGAAAACTGGATGAGAAAAGAAGATACAGAGGAAAGCAAGAAAAAGAAGAAAGAGAGGTGGGAAAAGGAAAAAGAAACAAAGGAGGAAGATAAGAAATGTGAGAATAGGGTAGCTATCAGGTCTCAACCTGATTTTCATTACTACCCCACTGAGGTGCCTTTTTAGACTTTTTTTTTCCTAAGTGCCAACTCCCCTCCCCTCTACCCATGAACATTTCATTTTAGCCATCACAATATCTAAGATTTTTTTCAATCCTGTGCACCAAACCAATTATCACCCCCACTGAGAATGTATGGTCTACACCAGAGCTGTCTGATGGAACTTTCTGTGATGATGGAAACATCCTCTATCTGTGCTGTCCAACTACCCACATGTGGCAATGAAACTTCTGAAATGTAGTCAGCACAACTGAGGAACTGAATTTTAAATTTAGTTTAATTTTGGGACTTCCCTAGTGGTCCAATGGTAAGAAATCCACCTTGCAATGCAGGGGACGCGGGTTCTATCCCTGGTCAGGGAACTAAGATCCCATATGTTGCAGGGCATCTAAGCCCATGTGCCACAACTACTGAGCTCATGCGCCTCATCTGGAGAGCCTGCATGCTGGAAACTACAGAGCCCACACCCTCTGGAACCCGCACGCCGCCAACTCAGAGCCCACATGCATTGGAGCCTGTGTGCCACAACTAGAAAAGAGAAAAAAACCCTCACGCCACAACTAAAGAGAAGCCTGTGCACCACAGCAAAGAGCCTGTGCACTGCAATGAAGGATCTCACATGCTGCAACTAAGACCCAACACAGCCAAAAAATAAATTAATAAAATAAATCTTTAAAAAAATAAATTCCGTTTAATTTTAATTTAAACTTAAAATAGCTACATATGGATAGTGGCTACCAGATAGGGACAACACAGCTCTAGATACTCAACACTGGTTCAAAATTATAAACAAAAAACTGTCAGTTCTCTGTAACATTCAAAAACACAAATTCTCATTAAACTTCCTTGCCTCGGGGCTTCCCTGGTGGCGCAGTGGTTGAGAGTCCGCCTGCCGATGCAGGGGAAACGGGTTCGTGCCCCGGTCCGGGAAGATTCCCACATGCCGCGGAGCGGCTGGGCCCGTGAGCCATGGCCACTGGGCCTGCGCGTCCGGAGCCTGTGCTCCACAACGGGAGAGGCCACAGCAGTGAGAGGCCCGCGTACCACAAAAAAAAAAAAAAAAAAAACAAACAAAAAAAACTTCCTTGCCTCTTCTCTACCAAAGATATGGATTATAGAGTATAAATGAAGAATAAAGGGCTAAGAATAAAGGGCTAAGAAATTTTGAAAACTAGGAAGTAAAGTAACTCTTAATTCATCCAAGTGACAGATATAAGCATTTCTACACATGACGTACACAGGAAATTCAAGTATAGAACAGAGGAATTCTATGCTTCTACAGACTTTCAAGGCATGGATTGAGAAACATTCTAACAATTTAGGAATTAACCCAAGAAAAGGCCTCCTAACTTATTACTAAATCTGTTGGAGTTCACACAATCTAGCTTCATATTTGAAACAGCATTATGCTTCACTATTATGCAAAAATTTTTAAAAATCACATAGTCCACAACTACTTCAGAATCATTCCAATCATATGTTTCCATTAACAGGATTATTTTAATCATAATGAAATAATCATGAATACCTTGGGAAATTTTCAGCTGTGCCATGGTCAGCTTAATTTCAGCAGCGTTTTCTGGATGCTGATCTGCAAATTCCTAGAATTTTTTTAGTTGGGAAAAAAAAAATCACATTTACACAAATAAGCGCACATATTCTAATTACTTACTTCAGCCTCATTAAATTTCTTTTAAAATTAATTAATTAATTAATGACTGCATTGGGTCTTTGTTGCTGTGCGCGGGCTCTCTCCAGTTGAGGCGAGCAGGGGCTACTCTTCCCTAAGGTGCACGGGCCTCTCACTGCGGTGGCCTCTCCTGCTGCGGAGCGCGGGCTCTAGGCACGCGGGCCTCAGCAGTTGTGGCACGTGGGCTCAGCAGTTGTGGCCTGCGGGCTCTAGAGCGCAGACTCAGCAGTTGTGGCGCACGGGCTTAGCTGCTCCACAGCATGTGGGATCTTCCCGGACCAGGGCTCGAACCTGTGTCCCTGCATTGGCAGGTGGATTCTTAACCACTGCGCCACCAGCAAAGTCCCCCCGTTAAAATTTAAATCCAGTTTTGAAACATTAAACTTCTGGTTTCAGGTCAAAATTTTAAATTTGGAAAAATTTTATTCGACATCCACTTTGCTTAAAATTGTGCTCTGAGGGCTTCCCTGGTGGTGCAGTGGTTGAGAGTCCGCCTGCCGATGCAGGGGACACGGGTTCGTGCCCTGGTCCGGGAAGATCCCACATGCCACGGAGCGGCTAGGCCTGTGAGCCATGACCGCTGAGCCTGCGCGTCCGGAGCCTGTGCTCTGCAACGGGAGACACCACAACAGTGAGAGGCCCGCGTACCGCAAAAAAAAAAACCAAAAACTGTGTTCTGAAAGAAACTGCAATAATGTCAAGTCTCTAGGAAGTCGCCAGTAGAGAAACAATAATTAAAATTACTACATAGATTTTTCTTTTTCTTTTTTTTTTAAAGAAAGATACTAAAAAAAAAAAAATGACGATTCCTTACTGAGGATCCCTGCTTGGCAACTTTGGCCCTCAGGATGGTCCTAATTTTATGCCGTCCAACTTTCCAATGTAGTCTACTCTCAGGAAATTCGAATGTGATTTAATGTTTGGTTTATTAGCTTAATTAAAAACCAAGTCAGTATCTCTGTGATTGTTTGAGGTTTTGGATTGGGACTTACTAGAAAATACATTATTGAAAAAGGGGCTAAGCACGTTCTGGTATTTTAAGTCTAAAACAAACCGTTAACTAGTGTTACATCGATCTCCAAATGAAAGCATTCTTAGGAGCTTATAGCAAACATTTACTAATGCAAATGTATATAAAACAAAGCTGCAGCCCAAGAATTAACTAAAGTGACACTCTGGCATGTGTATAGTGGTATATTACCTATTAGTTTTCCCATGAAATTTACAAGCTTGTACATTATTATAATAATGAAAATAAAACAAGGCTACAACTACCTGACATCTCATTAAAAATTCAAGTAATTGTTTTACCTGAAGCAGCTCTATTGCTTTTGTGTGCTGCTTTTCACGACAGAGCTGGGCAGCTTGGATTAAAACAGGAAGGAGACGCTCAGGACTTTGGGACTGTAAACTGGCAGATATTTTGCGACATTGTTCTGCCTAAAAGACAGTATTTCCCCCCCATAAATATAAGCTGGTTAATTAAATCAAACATTAAGTGAATGACCAAAAAGAAAAGAAGGATGGGGAGGTGGAAGGAAACCAGTTGAAACAAAATAGTGTGAAGAACTATCTAGGGTAAGAGAGGTGGTTTACAGTACCCTCAATTTTTTCCTGAAAGAAAAAGATTTCTATTTACTGAATGTAAGCTATGAGTTCTTAAAGCATTTAGGAAAGTCCTAAACATTCATTGGAATGCTTAAATTGCAGAATTTTGTTTAAAAAAACAGAACACATCAAGTGTCAGCCTTTGCTTCAAAGCAACAAAATGTATAGGTATTTCTTGCTACAGTATTTAGGAACAACTTGACTCAGTTCTAAATAATGAAAATGTTACTGCCTCTCAGTCCCCCACTGAAAACCTCTGCTCTAGAAGAGTACAAAATCATAATTTAATTAGAGTTTACACATATTGGAGTTAGAACTGCCCTTATTTATAACTTGATGTGATTATGCACAAACTAAAAAGATGGATCTTAAATTTATAATCATGATCAGCATCTTTGATGATTTTTCCTTTAATTCAGAGAAATTGGAAATAAGGTAATGAGAGAATTTTCTCATTTACAGCCGTGAATACTGTTTTCTTCTTAAGAGCCACCACTGCAGACCTTCACAAAGAACTGGGCAAATTACTTATCTAACAGATAAAATCTATGATACATGACCTTCTGAAGACTACATGAGTCTAAGACAAAATATAAGCAAAAATATAAACAGACTGGACTGATACACCCATTAAGCCTCATGTGCCGTACTCCAAGAGGTTTAGCCAGGGGAACCAGAGGTCTGTTGCCTACCTGGTTTGTGTACATAGCAAGTAAAGCTTTGTTAAATTCTATCGCTTGCAGTTGTTTCTTGGAAAGCTTAAACTCCACTCCTTCTGCATTGGTTAATTTCACCTTCTTCTTGGAGTCAAAGACATTTTGGTCCTGACAAAGAAAAGTTCATTCACCATTAACAGCAATCTCAGACTTCAACTCTTAACACTCCAAGGCCTTACTCCTCTTTCATTTTGTTGTTTTATGTAAACACAGCAAGAGAGCTTGGAAGATAATACACCTACCTGGCTGGGGTGCCTATGCTCCTAAGGTACATATAAATTTGGCTTGGTTTCTTGGTTTGGTTTTATCTTTCTACTATTAATTGCTTTTTTTAGCTTTTTGATGTAAAGTACAAAGGGACTGCACAAATCTTACAGCGGAAATTAGGACTACAATGATACCCAAATTTGTAATTTCTACAAACTATCTTTAGAATTTAGATGACAAATGAGGAAAGTAACTTATTCCTCTCTGACATATTGTCATACATAAGCAAATGGAATGGAATAAGAATGGAAGACAATTAAGTCACACTGCACCCTGAGAAGGACAAAAAGGGCATCTAAGTGTCTACTATGTGCACAGTATTCTAACTTTGTTAAATATTATTTGCAAATATGTGTTACCACTGTGCTTTTTAAACCATGTCTTCTACTAGTTTAAAGACTAAAAGGAGGCAAAGAAGAAATCTAAAATAAATTCTACTTTTTACTGTGAAGCTCCAAACCAATGTGAAATTATTTTAAACGTACAGCAAGAAACTGGCTTTCATATAAATCAATCCTCAAGAAACCATATTTCTAGTTGGTACTCCTATGTCACTATTTTAGTACTTAAACTCACCATGCATGCCACTGCCAGACTTCTCTTAAACTTTACTACCATGACACTTACTAACATTTTTGATTTTTCAAGGTCTCCCATACCTTATTATTCAATGTAACCTTTTTTTCTTCTTAACTAGCCAGCATGTATGTATCCTCATATCTTTTGCTCTCTCACTTTCCCTCCATAAGTCATTTGCTTGTGCTGTTGCTTAACCTTCAAACCATATCCCTCCTTCAAGGCTCTACTCAAATTAGCCAACCCAGATCTTCCTTCACCAAATACTGTAGTTACAAAGTACACAACAAGAAATTTAAATGTGCACAATTTTTTTCAACACTAGATTTTTTTATACTATGTAATGAGTAAGACCACATTTCATATTTATTTTTGCATTTCCTATTGCATCCAGCACCATACTGAATAAAAAATTAGAAATAAATGTTAACTGAAGAAAAATTCAGTGTATAAATACATTTAAATTGAGATATTTAGTACTTCACATACTCTCCTGCCCACAATTATATATCAGATAAAAACAATTTGTCCTCACTGGCATTTCAAATTGTTCATAAACATAGGCAGGTACATCTTGCTGCTAAGAGTCAAATGCCAGCATCAATTTTTGGAAACCTAAACCATGCCAATGGCCCACAACATCCTATATCTATTACCCCCCTAATGCCATTATCCTATATCTGAGAACCCTCTGAATTTCTGCTATAGGGGGGAGAGAGATACCACACAGGCCTAAAAGGAGAGTGCACTGGAGTCAGAGACTAGAATCTGAATCCAAGTTCTACCTCTTAGTGGCTGTGATCTTATACAAATCACTTAACTCTTTTTAGCCTCAGATTACATTCCTATAAATTGGAGACATGCACTGCCACCTAAAAAGATAATTGTGAGGATGAAATAAGCTGGCACTTGGAAAATCACATAGCCTATCAAAAGAAACTAAATGTTACTTTTCTATTGACTTGAATTTCAAATCTGAACTTGAAATATCTTCCCATTAGAACAATGTTCCAAAAGGTGGTTTAATTTGACTAGTACAGTTACTCTTTAGAATTGTTTATATACATGCTTGTAATAGTTTACAAAGGGTTTACGGGCCGGGGGGCAGAGAAAGAGAGAGAACCTGCCCATGCCTCCTCTCCCCCAAAATAAAAACCACTGGAGGGGCTTCACTGGTGGCGCAGTGGTTGGGAGTCTGCCTGATGATGCAGGGGACACGGGTTCGTGCCTCGGTCTGGGAGGATCCCACATACCGCAGAGCGGCTGGGCCCATGAGCCATGGTCGCTGAGCCTGCGCGTCTGGAGCCTGTGCTCCGCAGCGGGAGAGGCCACAGTGGTGAGAGGTCTGCGTACCGCAAAAAAAAAAAAAAAACCACTGGAAAGAGAAAAACTTTATACGGAAAACTCGTATTCAGACCTTACTAGATGAAGAAATCAAAGTCCAAACAACTTATTTCTCTAATAAGTATTCTCCATATAATGATAATAATGGGAAATAATATTATAATTATATTAATATTATAATTATATAGAATAATAATTTTAAAAAACAATGGGAAAAGGGTAAGATTTTAAAGTCCAGGGTATGTAGCTACAAAATAGTTTTATTATTTGAATATACCTTGCAGAATCATTATGAGAGTTAAATAAAACGCTCCATTGTGATTCTGCTGCAACTGGACTCTGTCACGGAAAAACTTATCCTAGAACAAGGCTGGGGTAATATGCTTCCAGCAAAAAATAGTGTAAGAAAACCATGGATATTCCGTACCTTGTTAATTGTAATGATGTTATTTGCAATCACAGCTAGCAATGCTATATCTGTTGGTCTGCAAACAAAAAGCAACAGTCAAAAAGGAATAAACCTTTAAAAAGAAAACTCATACCCTATAAAAGACACTTCATTTTAATAACCTACTTACTTTAGTTTTATTATCTGATTGTAAAGTTGCAAAGCCTCCTCTGTATGACCCTGAAGCTGCATAATATAGGCCATTTGCCCATGGATGATGGCCAGTTCTGCCTGTGGGTCTTCTTCAGTCCCATCCTAAGCAGAATGAGAAATATTTTTTTTCCTGTGAGTTCTCCAAATTGATCCACCTATTAACCAAGTGATCCAAACATTCAGAAGATATATCATCCTAAAGAAGACATACAATTTTCAGGAATTTTCCTGTAGAGTCAGTTTGTTAAAATTTAGGAATAGCTACCAAAAGAGGGAAGCTTAAATGAGAATAGCAAAAAGACAAATTCTGGAAGGACATGGCGACAAGCTCAGGAATACCATTCACTGATCATTTTTATTCTCTAAAAAGCTAAGACTAAAAAAAAAAAAAAAAAAAAGTGAAAAACAGCATACAAGTTTAACTTTTTACAATACCCCTAAATTCTGGAAACAATTTTCTCATAAGAAACACATTTTCAAAAAAAAAAAAGAAACACATTTTCAAAATGCTTCACTCTTAATTCTAAAATAATTCTAATCCAAAGATTACAAAATTCTAACTAGTAACTATCACTGTACAAAGAATTTCAAAAGCTGAAACTAATTCTGTAATTAAAGTAGCAGCTCTCTTAACTGATACCCCAGATCAATCTATATTTTCCATTCCTTTGGAGAGGCTGACTGACGCCCACGTAGAGTGAATGCTCAAGGCTAGGAGGCTGCTCTTTTTTGCCATACCAGGTGCTCCTACTCTCACATGGTAAGCATATGTTGGCCAGGTCAGACTTGTTTGTTTCCAATCCCATTATGCCAGTTGTGTTTGATAAAGAAATGATAAAACTTAAGTATTGTAGTAAGACAAGAACTATGCATGAGAAGAGACTTGCTTCGATGAAAACTATGTTGAATGCTCAGAAATATTTGACAAAGGTGATTTCCTAAAGAAAATTACTATCTAATTAGGTATGAGCCAGAAAATGAAGAAAAAAAAAAAGGACTCTGTAATGAAACTAATTCACAACTGTCTTTAAAGTATTGTTACACTTAAAAAAAAAAACTGGAGATTATGACTGTTGGATTATGTATAGTTTGTGTAAGAAATATGCATGGAATTCCTATGAATAGGACCTTACTCAAAGACCTGAGGCCTACATTTAAAACAGGAGAATGAATTTATATGAATTTAAAATGAAATGCATAAGACATATAAAATTTTGTATTGTAATTTCTCACTCTAAGAGAGTCCATCAAATAACTCATCAAGAGGGTTTCTGTGATTCTTATCTAATGAATCAATATAATTTCAAAAAGTCAATAAATACTACAAAGAAGGCTCCTACAAATTTACATTAGCAGAAGTGTAAAATCTGGGTTTAACCACAGTGGAATACTTACAGAGTCTTCTGATAATGAATGGCGGCAAAGATCTATAGGAGAAAATGGTTTTAAAATTAACATTGCTAGGTAACTCTCATTTCTTTCATGTTCCAAACAACAAGAGCTAAATTCTTAGGCAGAAGATTTAAGACAATTTTAATAACAAGCAAATTTGGAATTTATTGTTAACATCAAATATATTACATAAATATTATCAATCCTTGATTACTCGCTCTTTGGCATTTTCTTTCACTTGTAATCCCTATGTTAAAAAAATTTTTTAAGGGAATTTAAAATATATAAATGTAACAAACGTTGATTGCAAAAAATCAAAAGTATAAAAATAAGGACAATAATCCTGCCACCCAAAGATAACCACTGTAGCATTTCAGCTATTTTTTTTTTAATGTAAATGCACAGCTACATTTTTAAATGAAAGTGCGACAGTCTACTATTTTGAAACCTCCCTTCCCCCATTTAATATACTGTGGACATCTTTATGTTATAACACATTTACAACTACATTATTATTTTTAACATGATTATTGTTAATGACTGCATGGTAATCTATTCTGTGATTATAATAAAGTCTTCTAATAGGACAGAAACTCATGTTTCTAAATTTTTGTTCTTATGAACATCCCTTCAATTAAATTCATATATAACTGTATGGATGTTATCTAATTATTCCCTTATTTCCTTAAATTTCTAAAAATGAAATTCTTAGATCAAAGGGTATGAAAATTTCAAAATCTGCTACAGCACCAAACTGCCCACTGCAAAGCCTCTACTACTTTTACATTCATACCTGCAATATATGAGGACGTCCTCCCATACCACTGTCAATACTGGGCATGATCCAGAAATTATAATTCTTAAACATATTTTTCTCCTCATGATGCTCTAACCTCTGCCCTTATTTTAACCATCAATATTTAAGAATAAAACAGACCCTGTTCCACCATTTTTCCTTCCCACCATTCATCGCAGTCCCTACAACATCACTTTTATAGCTTCCAAGGGAAATGTATGGAGAAGAAAGTCGAAATGTTTCAGGAGTTGAGACCAGACATAAGTTCTCTAATAAATTATTTTCTTTTTCACTTAATTAAGAGCTTCAAAGCATGCAGATATTGTATATGGAAACATACTAAGTAGAGTTAAAATGTGCTTGAATAGTGTTATCAATGCATAAATGTGGCACACCACATTGTTACTATATTTGTGTACTTGTTTAATACCAATAATAATGATGACAATAATATTTACCGAATGCTTACTAACTCGGTTAATTTACATTTAACATTCACAGTAAGTTGTTCAAAAACCTACTCCTCAAAAAACTTAAGGTTTGGTGTGGTTGAAAATGGACAAGTAGACTGGCTTAGGAATAACATAGTAACAGAGGAGAGATAAGAGTCAAGAACCCAAGAGAAAGGCTAGATGGATTTTGAGAAATTTCCACTGCATCAATAATTTCCATTTAAAAACTTCCCAAAGTTTTTAACTTTTTAACTTTTGGAAATACTTTGCAAAGTTATATGCATATTACATTTACATATCATTTTAACAAACTTCCAACCTTCAGCTTTTTGCAGGATTTTCATTGCCTGGTTCAGCTGGCCTTGTCCTATCAGCGCACATGCAGCATTGTAGCACAGTTCGTGTGTGCCTTCTTGGAGACCCAAGTTCTCCTGTCACAGAGAATACCAGTCAAACACTAGACAGGAATATTATGTCATGGCTGTGTAAGTACACAGAGATACTCACTGGAACCACTTTTTCCCAGTTACTTTGAGCTGCGACAACTGCTGAAAGGTTTGTTTTTCTCTCCTCATCATAATCATCTTGAGAGTTTCGGACAAGATCTCTATACACAGCCAGGCATTCATCATAGCGTTCTAATCGGTACAACTGAAGAGATAAATAGCAAGTAAAAAATCAGAGAAGACAAATATTGTGTTACATCCCTAACACCATATAACCCCTTTTTTGGAACCACCATGGAAGAAACCTAACTCAGCATAACGTGGGCAATTAATTGTTTTCCCTTTACAATTTTTCAATTAGTTCTGTGTGCTAATACTTCCCAAAAGTTACTTGCAATGAATCTCTACTATATTGCATATTTGTAGGCATGATTCAGTTAGAAAAGCCATTGTATTGACCCCCATCTTGAAGTGAGGTAGTGTCTAAGTGGGTTGTGAAAGAAAACCATTCTGTAGAAATCAACCATTACCTAAATCTGACTTACAATCCCACAAGTTTACTAAGCCCCAGTAAACAGGAACAAAATTAGATGTTAACAAAAGGACTTACTATCTCCTAGTTCATTATACTGAATCTTCATTTCTCTTTTCCAGAAACCAACTATTGTATAGGGTAGTATCAAGTATGCACAACATAATTCTTGCTTATTTCATTCAAGTTGTTCTTAAAGGGCGATAAGAACTGCCATTCTGGGTCAATTAGTCTACATGTATGACAGAGATGGGTGCCCTTCATCAATATCAAAATGCTGGAATCTACCCTAAGCTAACCCAGTTTACATGAAAAGTTCTTTATAGACCTACAATCCATGAACTTGCCCAAATCTTTGTTAAAACTCACACTACCTTTTGGGGACAATATATTCAATACATTATTTGCCCTAAACTGACATTTTAAAAAAATTTAAGAGGGTTTTGCTAGTTCTAATATAACATTTCTGTCCTCTTATCATAAATAACCCTATTTTACATTAGGCTTAATTGTATGTCTCAAAACTCTTTTAGAATAAGATATTTCCAGGGATTTCATGAACCATCAGAATTCATCCAAATTCTTATTCATCATGATTTTCTTTATTTTAAACTTAGAATAAAATATCAGTTAAAAACTAAAAAGACTGTTTCAAAACTGTGTAAGTATATAAGCTTACTGGCCTTCATCTTTCCAACTAAAAAGTCCAAATTTCATAGGATAGTTCTTAATTTTCCAATTGCCCTTAGGAAGTCATTTGTTCATAGAACACTATACATGCAATTGTTCATATGAAGATCAAGGAGAGGGAATATGTTCAAACCTCAAGAACTGGTTTGGTGGCAAGTTTTATGGAGCATCAGGATGGGCTGGGGTTCCTTATCCCTGCTCCTTGCTATAGGTAGAATCACGTTCATGCAGGATGACTGTTAAACAGGGATTTTAGGGCTTCCCTGGTGGCGCAGTGGTTGAGAGTCTGCCTGCCGATGCAGGGGACACGGGTTCGTGCCCTGGTCCGCGAAGGTCCCACATGCCGCGGAGCGGCTGGGCCCATGAGCCATGGCCGCTGAGCCTGCGCGTCCGGAGCCTGTGCTCCGCAATGGGAGAGGCCACAACAGTGAGAGGCCCGCGTACCGCAAAACAAACAAAAAAAACCAAAAAACAAAAAAACAGGGATTTTAAAGCAGTAATTACCACTTGTCCATAAAGCTCCTTTAGTTTGTCTGTCTGCTGGTTGGCACTTTCTATTGTCTTCAAGGCATTCTCAATTCTGTTCAGCCTGTACTCACAGTATGCCTTCTCGAAGGAAAGAGAGTTACTGAAAAAGGAAAAACCAATGTCTGATTATTAGCTAACACTGAAGAGCACCCACTGTAAGCTAGACACTGCTCTAAGCACACTTGATACATAACAACAGATGACAAAGGTTAGTGACTGGTCTAAAATCAGACAGCTCATAAGTGGCAGAAAATATTACATCCATTTCCCTAGGCTCTCTTGCTTTCATGGATATTCTTATTAGAATTACTGGCCTTTGAAATGAATATATAAGAATGAAATCCTGAATTAGCTAAAAACTGTTTCAGATATAAAGACAATCTGAACATTGTTTTAAATGGGTTGTTATAGAAGTTTCTTAAATCCATTTAAGAACCTATGATAAGCCATATAATGCTACTCTAACTTGTCAAGAAGCAAATAATTAGCAAAGAAAAAGTAACTAGAAATCTTAAAAGAACATAGCACTTGTAATCAAACAACTGGTAAACAGACAACTGCAAAAACAATACTTACATACACAGAGTTAAAAATTCATTTACATTAATGTCACATATGAAATATTTTGAAGTTTCAACCATAATCTGTGAGGAAAAATAAACATCAACATCCTTTATTCACCTAACAAAAAATTATTTGAAAATTTCCCTCTCTCACAAAATGGCCAAAAATCAAAACACTGAATTTTAGCATAAACATGTTTACTAGTAGAAAGCAGTGTCCCTTTTATTACCCTTTTATTTTTAATAAAGTTTAAAAATTTGTTTTTAATCTGTAATACATGCAGTTGGCCCAAGTAAAAAAAACAAAAAGGTATACACTGAAAGGTTTTTACTCCCATTGTTATTCAAATCTACTGTTCCGCTCACCTCCTACAAGTAACTATTTTTATTGTTTCTCCAGCTACTGTTTGTCTTTGCAAATACAAAAAAATACACATAGAAATTCTTATATCCTCTTTTTCTTATACAAAAGGAAGTATACAATATACTGTTCTGTACCTTATAAACATTAAACAATAAATATGCTGCAACCTTCATTTCAACACACATTTCTTTTGGGGCTTAGACATAACTGTAAAGAAAAATGAAATTACAGTACCAATTCAGATTATAAGTTCACGTTTCATGAAATGATAAATTAAATAAATAAGTGAAAAAGATTAAGAATAATAAAAAACTGCTATAGGGCTTCCCTGGTGGCACAGTGTTTAAGAATCCGCCTGCCAATGCAGGGGACACAGGTTTGAGCCCCGGTCCAGGAAGATCCCACATGCCTCCAAGCAACTAAGGCCGTGTGCCACAACTACTGAGCCTGCGCTCTAGAGCCCACGAGCCACAACTACTGAGCTCACGTGCCTAGAGCCCATGCTCCACAACAAGACAAGCCACCGCAATGAGAAGCCGGCGCACTGCAACGAAGAGTAGCCCTCGCTCGCCGCAACTAGAGAAAGCCCGCACGCAGCAACGAAGACCCAACGCAGCCAAAAAAAAAAAAAAAAAAAAAAAAAAAGTAGATTGAAAAAAACTGCTATATATTCTAAAGGCTGCTAAAGAACTCTGACACTGAAAGATCTTGGCCTAAAATCATACTCACCTAAACAATTCTCCAAGGAGGCAGGCACAGAGGTCAGGCTAAGACTGCCATACCATCCTAGAGGCCTTGACTAATACATCCCTACCCTGTATGTTCTGCCCTCTCTGCTCTTTTTTTTAAATTAAACTTCTGCTGAGTTGTTCTCCCTATGTCCTCCAAGAAATCTTGTGACTCTTGTTTATGCCCCACATCCCTCCAGTTTCCCTTCTTCTTAGTGGTTCAAAGGGAAGACAGGGGTAAAGAAAAGGTTCCTTAAGGCAGAAAAGAACAAAGGTTACTATTGCTCTTTCCAGTTTCAGAAGCACCATTGGCAGGCAAAAGGAAAAAAGAGGGGAAGGAAAGAAAAAGGTCAAAAATCACTGAATAGTGGGAAAAAAAACACGGAAATGGTTATAGCTATGGTAAACATGCACGAACAACTAATTAAATCACTTACTTGGCAAACACTTTGGTGTGAGTATTGATGACATTCAAGGCTTCCTTGAAACTTCCATTCTGGATAAGGCACACAACTTTACAGTGTAGGGCAGTTACATCATCCTTGTTGATCTGCAATACTAGACAGCAATTTTAGGAAAGCAATTTTTAAATCCATTCCCTTTCCACGTTTCCCATCTCAGGAAGCTACATTTCCAATTTTATTGCAGCAGAAATGATTAGTCAAAACATTTTTTTAAATGACTGATCTTTATTTTTAAGTTAAGAAGTGACAATAAGGAGAGTTAAGTTAGACTTTCCAGTGAGATAGCTTCCCAAGATGCATGTACCAAAAAAGTAAAGTGAGATAAAGAAGCAAGAATGAAGTTGTTTTCTACTGCTTTTTCATCTTGCAATGCATGCTATATCCTACATATTTCATTACTTCACAGGGAAAGAAAAAAGTTCACATAAAACTTGGCAGCAAATGACTTAGGTTTGAGTACAAGCTTGCCACTAAATGCCTTGAGGTCTTGGACAAGTCATTTGATTGCCAAATCTCAACTTTCTGATCTGCAAAACGAGTATGAAAGCATTACCTATTTTACAAGGTTATTAAAAAAATTACATGAGAATATTTTGAAAAAAATCTATAAGCTGTAAAGTATAAAAACACAATTTGTTTTGCTGGCATTATTTCCAAACACCATTCAAAATTTCGCTTTTCAGCTAATATAACTAAAGAGAAGTGCAAGGAAGGAGTCAGGTGGCCAAATTTCAATGCTAAACAGCTGTTCAGTGTCAAAATGACTAGGATCACTCCCCTTGCTCCTGGGCAACTATAGGAATTCAAATTTCAGTCTAAGAATCAGAGTAATTTCTGTCAATTAAGAAAATATATATTGCAGAACTGACAGCCCTTGCTGATTAAACAATTCCTGCACAATACTTACTACATTGCTGATTAATATTGGTTGCAGACCTAGCAAAGGGCCAAAGTTAATTCAAAACAAGTTTAACAATCAAATAATTGTCATTAGTAGCTATTTTCCTCAATGTCTGAAATCACCAAAAGTGCACTGTGGGCACAATCATTTCTTTTCACATTAACCCAGCAATAGTTTGTTGAAAATCCACACTTGTACGTTACAGACACATACCATGTATGTTATTACTTCTTTCAACAGTCAAACCCTGTCCTGGTAATTACATTTCCAAACCTAACAAATACAGGCAACACCTTCAATAAAGGACTTAGCACGACAGAGAGCATTAAAAAGCATGGCCGTATTACAGTTAGGCAGTAAAGGATAACAGAATATAATGAGTTGAACCTCACACCGAAGACAGTTCACTCAAAATGATCAGTTACCGGGCAAAAAACAGGATTAACATTTGTCTTTGCAACGTTATTGCAAATGTTAGTGCTTTCACACACACATTTTCTGGTCTAAGGACGCTGGAGGAATGCTATCTGTGGGAATGACAAGCCTGACATCCAGATCCAGCCCTTCCCTCTACCCTCTGTACAGCTTCCACCTTGTCAGCGCCAGCTTCCAAATTACGTGTCCCAGGCAGGTTCCTCCCCCCGCTGCGGCCCAAGAGAAAAAGCTCCCTCAGCAATACTGTCTTGATCACTCCGCTATAAGGAAAGCGAAAAGGAGGCAATGTGGAGTATTTGCGAAAAAAGGCGTGAAAATAACGGAGTAAAATAAGAAAGCAGTTTGGAAGAGACGTCGGGAGCTGCGGTCTCTTTAAATCCTTCCCTCGCTTTCTGCGTTGCGGGGGGGGGGGTGTAAAGACGGAAGTACACGTGGCTCTAAGCCACCCAGGACGCAGGGCTGGCCGTGGGGAGCAGAGGCACCGCGACCCGCGCCCGCTGGGTGTTCGGGCCCTAGCGGCGGGTGGCTGGGGTCTCCCCTACCGCTGTCTGCTCGGAGGTGGTCACGCGCTACGGAAGGAGGCTGCATCCTCCCACCGGCCCGGGCCCGTCCCCGCCCCGGCGCCCGCCGAGACACTTACTCTTGTTGACGGTTTTGAGAGCGCGCGTGAAGTCGCTGTTCTGGCCATAACGGTTCACTTCACTCCAGAGCGCAGGCACCGAAACCCCCGCACTGCCGCCGCTCGCCATCTTGGAGGAGAGGCGGGACGACCTCTTGCCCCGGAAGAGGATCTCGGAGGTGGCTAAGCGGAGAAGGAAGCCGGTGGTTGCTAAGCGTCTCGCAGTCGGAAGCATTTTTATTACTGAGTTGGCGTCAAAGACCGCAGTCTTCACTCTCGTACCTAGAAATTTGCGAAGATAGAGTCGATACACCTTTCTAGAAGCGGGTCTGGAGGAACGAGGCGTCGGATCCCAGGAAGGGGTTGAAAAGGATTCACCAAACAGATTCGGCTAAAAACAATGTGCGTTTCCGGGGCGACCGCTGGGGGCGGAGAAGTGTCCAGGTCCCTAGAGGCGGAGCTGGGCGAAGGTCTATGAAAAATAAATAACATCTATGGCGTGGTAAAATACCAACTAGAAACCGTAGGGGATCATCTGAAGGAGTGGGAGAGAAGGGGAGGGGAAGAGACGGCTTCTTGCTGCCTGGGAATACTTCATAGAGGAATTGGTATTTGAATGGAATCTTGAAAGGTGATTAGGAAAACCTGGGGTTGGTTCTGGGTAAAGTTCAGTCAGAGAAGCGAATATGAGGAAAGGCAAAGAAGAAGAAAAGAATCTCCAAGTGCAAAGGACGTTTGGTGAAAACCCCCTGGCTACCCTTTGGGCTGCATTTCAGGAGCAGTTGGCAATAAGGCTGGAAGGGTGATGTGTTTTGGTGTGAGAATACCCAGGTTCAGTTCCTGGCTTATGTGACGCTCTAGATGTCTGACTTGTGAACGTGTTATCAGAGTCCCAGTTTTCCCGACTGTAAAATAGGGATAATATATAATTGTTCTAGGTATAAACGATACTTCCTGCACCCTGTCATAGTAAGCACTCAAGTAACACACAGACATAGGGGATTTAGAGTTTTTGTAAGACCTTAAATATCAAGATGTGCTTGTCCAAACCGAGTACCTACTGAGTATTCTTGATGAAAACGACAGGACATTTTATTGAACGCCTACTCTGCAGGCTCATTTCTGGTCACGATCCTACCAGTTCCTGCCTCTTCGCCCCTCCTCTCTTTCTCAGCAAACTAGCTAATTCCTTTTCATCCTTCAATATTTCTGTATCCTTCTGGTTCCAGGTTAAAAGTTACCTCTTTGACTTTGCAGACTCTGCAAAGTTCCCCATTACACTCTCTTATGGAGCTCTCTACTTCTGAGCACTGCTTATCGTTTAAGGCCTCTCTCCAGATGGACTGTAATTTCCATGAGGCCAAGGACTATATTTGCCTTGCTCACCGCAGCATCCCTAGGATCTAGCACACTCCCTGGCATATAGTTGGTACTCAACTTTTTAACTGAATGAGTTTTTGCTTCTCTCTCCCTTAATCTGTGAGTTCCTTGTGAGCAGAAACTATGTCCAGCTCATGGCTGTATCCTATGGTGCCTGGCACATTTCATGTCTGGTTAATATGTTCAATGCAAAAACAGCACTGATGATCCAGTGAGCTCTAGCTCAGGAGGATATAATCTCTGTGAATTAGTAAAAATCATGAGAAGGGCTGTGGACTTCTACTAGCTGTGGAACTGTCATGTATTGCAAGCTAATTATGCCCGGATTTCAAAGGGTTTAAGGGAGTTCGGGAAGACATTTGGTATACCCAAAATTTTATTAGAATTTTTCTGAGGAAAGACTTTGTAGCTTCCATTGGATTCTCCAAAGGTGTTTATACCAAGTCCCCTCTCCCCCTCCAAAAGCTAAGAACCACTGCCTTAGTAGTGCATTTCTCTCTTTTCAGAATATTGACTTTATGTAAGGATTCACAGTTTTGGTTTCTATATCAGTCTGATCTCATATACTTTGTAGCTTCTAGAAATTTCCTCAGAATTCCTCTGCTCTGGATTCCTGTTTCTGTTTCTTCTGTCATTTTTAATGGGGTTTTGTGGCAAACAAGATATAAATGTATGGATTTAATTCGCCCCTTTTGAAACAGGAGTCTTCCAAACCAGAGTGATTTTTAAAAAAAATAAATTTATTTATTTTAGGCTGTGTTGGGCCTTTGTTGCTGCGCATGGGCTTTCTCTAGTTGCAGTGAGCGGGGGCTGCTCTTCGTTGCGGTGCATGGGCTTCTCATTGCGGTGACTTTTCTTGTTGTGGAGCACGGGCTCTAGGCGCACGGGCTTCAGTAGTTGCGGCACGCCGGCTCAGCAGTTGTGGCTCACGGGCTTAGCTGCTCCACAGCATGTGGGATTTTCCCGGACCAGAGATCGAACCCGTGTCCCCTGCATTGGCAGGTGGATTCTTAGCCAGTGCTCCACCAGGGAAGCCCCAGAGTGATGTTTTAAAGCATATACCTGATGTCACTCTTCTATCCTCAGGATAAAATCCAAACTACAAAGCCTAGCATGTAAGGTCCTTTATGATCTTTTGTTACTGTCTACTCCCCTTGCATGTTATACTCCTCTAATATTTAGTTATGTATGGTTCCATGTTGCCATACCTATGGGAATTTGCACATATATTCATTCCACAAATATTTATTGAGTGCCTTCTAAATGCCAATGTCAGGCATTATATCAATACTAGTCGCTTGGGATACAATTAACAACAAAAAGACAACCTAGTGTACTCATGGAATGTATTTTCCAGTTGGGAGAGAGAGGCAATAAACAAATATATACCATGTTTGGTGGTAATAAATTCTACGAAGAAAAGTAAGGAAAGGTAAGAGGGATTGAGGACAGAGTGCAAGGAGTTACTGAAGCTCAAAGAGAAATGTGCCCAAGGAAATCTTTTCATTCCCATCCTACTGCTATTCACTGTACCACAGTGCTGGGTTAACAACCCCACCCCAAGTATTTGAGGTCGTGAGGAGTTAAATGCAAAAGGCACCATTAAAAGTAAGCGTTTCCACTGGCTTTCCAAGGACTGCTGGGCTGAAGATGGCAGGGAGAAATTGTGGATGTTCTATGGCCTGTCATGTTTTATTTAAGTCACATTATGCTGACTCTGCCTTTTCCTGTTTTTAGAAATTAAATCAGCTGAAGGGAATATCATATTCAAGGTAATTTTCATGGAATCAACTCCACTCATTCTATACAGTCAGCCAAATAGATTTTTACATAATGCATTCATGTGCTAGGATATACTTTACATATATGACTCTAATCACCTTGAGGTAGGTAGTATTAGTCCCACTTTACACACGAGGAAATTGAGGCACAAAAATTTTAAGTAACTTGTTGAAGGTCACATCTTCTCTCAACTGGACTACAGTAGCTTCTTAACTAATCTCCTTACTTCTCCTCTAATCTCCTCTAATCAGCCAGAGAATACTTTAAAACCTGTTGAATACATCATGTCAGCCCCGGCTCAAACTTACCAATGGTTTTTCCTGACACACTTCAGTGTGGTCTGTAGGCCCTAAGTTATCTAGCCTTTGCTTACATCAACATCTCCTTCCAGTCTTACCCTTGCTCAAAGAGCTCCAGCAATATTAGCATGCTTGCAGGTCCTCAAAAAGGCAAAGCTGTTTTACTTTCTGTTCTTTTAGTCTGGGAAACTATTTCCCCATTATCTTTGCATGGCTTCCTCTTTTACGTCATTGCCCTGCTCTCCTTAAAAACCTTCCTCTTACCCCATCACTGTCCTCTCACCTTGGCTGTTCTTCATGTGCACTTATACTTCCCTGAATCTATCTGATTTATCTTTTATGGTTTGTTATCCCCAATAAATTTTGTGAGGGCGAGGGCCTTGTCTCTGTGTTGCTTTCCTAGGGCCTAGAATAAAATAAGGCAAAACATGTATTTCACACATGGATGAATGAATAAAGCTTCACACAAGAGCTTATCCTTGCCTTTTATTTGGCTGCTTTGTTTTAAATTTCAGGAGGCATTAAAGCAATTCTAAGTGTGGCTTTAAGATATAAAGTTTAAGTACAGCGTTATTCGGACAGTTTTTCTTCCTCTATTTAACTATAAGCCCACAGAAAGTATAAACACCCAAAGATGGCAAACCAGGTAGGTTTGTGTAAATTAGTTTTTATAACAGTTAAAATACTTTCAAACAAGTATTTACTCTAGCACTGATGAACTATACTACTGAGTGAGGGTATATGAACTCTATTAAGAAACTAATAATGACCGTTGATAAAGGTCAGTCCTATCTACGAGTCTCAATCAGTGTTTGAAATTTTTATGTACTGCACAGAAACAGGTGGAGCTTTTGCTAGGTAGGGATAGAGGAATTGAAATAGCAGCCAATGACTATTCAGAGACTATGAAGCCCAAGTTCAAAGATGTTAAAATCAAATCTTTTTAATTGTTCTTGTGATCTAACTTTAGAAAATAAAGCAGTACATGATTTTTATAATTCCCCCATTTCTAACAGACAGCTAGGCATTAGCACATCAGAGCATAAGACAATGTAAGGGAAATAAACTGTAGAATTACGTTTTCTCCTCTTTGGGAGCTTACAATCCAACAGAGAAAGTACTTGTAGCCACTGTAGCTGGAAGGTTTATCAGGGAAGGTTTCATGGAGAAAGCAAAGATGAAGCTCTAGTAACTTAACAAGTCGATTTTAATGACAAATGAGAACATTCTAAGAACTAAAGGTACAGATATGCAATAGTCTGAAAAAGAGGAAAGCAAGTTCCCTTGATGGGTTACAACAGCAATTCTTAACCTACAGGCTATGGATAGGCTTCAAGGAACGCAGGAACAAATGGAACCTGTTAGTAAACATACTGTGCAATTTTCTAGGGAGAGGGTCAACAGCATTCATATTTTCAAAGGAGTCTATGTTGCAAAAGAAATTTATTTAAGAGTTTTTCTTGTTAAGTCCTTGGACAATCAATCTCAAAAAGTTTGGGTTAAGAATGAAGACCTAGGGCTTCCCTGGTGGCACAGTGGTTGAGAGTCCACCTGCTGATGCAGGGGACACGGGTTTGTGACCTGGTCCGGGAGGATCCCACATACCACGGAGCGGCTGGGCCCATGAGCCATGGCCGCTGAGCCTCCGCGTCTGGTCCGCAACAGGAGAGGCCACAACAGTGAGGCCTGCGTACCGCGAAAAAAAAAAGGATGAAGACCTAGATCAGGCTAATACAGAATTTGACCCTTGCTTGAGGTTTATTACAGTGGATGGGTAAACAGGGTAAATTCAAGACCTGGTGATGAGTTAGAAATGAAAGGTCAGAGAAAAACATCAAGGATAAAATTAAGCTTCTGATTTGGGACAGTGAGTGCAGCCAGATATAGGCTTGGTGGAAGATGAGTTAAGTTTAGACCATTCAGACAGAAATGGACAGCTGAAAATACAAGTCTACAGACATTCACTATAAAGAATTAAAATTATCCTACCATTATTTGTAAACAATGAACTCAATAGTAGGAAACATCAATACTTAAGGGAAAGAGTAAAATATGAGGAATGATTAAGATTGAGGTTGGAACAACTTGGTGTATAGCCCAAGAAAGGAAGTTAGGTCACTCATACCCCACAGAGATCAGGTGAAGGAAGTGATGAGATGCCAGCTTGTTAACAGTTGAGAGGGAAGTGAAAAAGCATAGACCGGGTAGGCCAGTGTCAAGATTTCATCTGTAGCAGAGATTCTTAACATTTTGGGGCGGGGGGGAACACATCTTTTTGGTAAAAATTGATTGCCCCCTTCTCATAGAAGTGAGCATATACATAAAATTTTACATGTAAGCTTAAGGGGTTCATAGACACCTGGATTAAAGTTTCATGATCTATAAAATCCTCAAGGCTGCATAATGTAACACTGATATTTCCAAATATGGTTTATAGACTCATGATGAACTATCATACCTCTCAGTAACAGCTGCTCCTTCAGAAGTGCATTTTGCTGGGTATACTGCCTAGACTTAATACTATTACAAGAAAGAAACTAGTTATGGGTATTAACTGGGAGATTCCAATTTTTGAAAATGATGGTAGGTTGGGTATTGTTAGTCTGGCTAAAATATGTGTTATCAGAATTAAAAGAATTTTATGACCTACAGAGCCAAGTAAGATTTACTAACTCATTTGCAATGGCAAAGGTGACTGTACTTCTTTTCCATGGGAAATTGCCCTGACACTTAACAGAGAAGTTTTCAGAAGTCTCTCCATGGTTTCCACAGTACCCCCTTCAATTTATTTCATGTCTTTCTTACCCCCAGCGTCAATCTCAGCTTTTCTTAAAAAAGGCAATATCAAACCCAAACATCATCTCTAGCTATAGCTAGAGATAAATACAACATCATTTTCTGACATACTGACTGCAAATAAAAAACCATGCCCTAGAGTTTTGTAAAGATCATAATGTGAAAGAGGACTATATTGCTCTTAACCACCCTAAGATACAACCCTTTTAAGTTTCTAAAACTTACAGACTGAGATGTAGGAAGTAGTAACTTTAGAGCTCTATAATAGGACATTATTATCATTTAAGAAATGTATTTAATTATGCTGCCTACCTGACCATATGTGGGTAAGAGATTAATTTTAAATGTATAGTAATTTCACTACTTATAAAGAAATACTAATAAATATGTACATTTATCCTACTAATTCATGAATCTAGAGAGGCATTTATTCACTTATAAATTTTGTTTTCTCTGATTGATTTAAAGTCTTTTCATCTTGCTTGTTTTTTTCTTCTGCAGTTAAACTAGAAATTTATAGTTTTTCTCCTAAAAAATGCAACGATGTTCTTTCTTATAAATTGCCCTCTCTGATTTTCTTGTCAGCCTGCTTCAAGGAAATCCAGGTGTTCAATACACTTGCTCGCAGTTTGGCCCAAATCAAATGGTTGTTTAATCCAAATATCTGAGCAGCAAACTGAGCTGATCCTTCTGGAGAAAGTATGGTTGAACAGCCAAGACCTATTCATAAAAGAAAAGACAGAAAATTGAGCTGTAAATTAATAATAAAAATACCACTTACCCAACTATTTTATACTCTCAGAAGCCCTGCTAGCCACAGACAATATAGCTACAATATTATCCTTGTCTGAAGTAAGATCTGTGGAAGGAGTTTCCATCTTTAGTCTTTAGAGTGATAAAGTGATTATAAGATGATAAGTAATATTTATCAGCCAGGAACAGATATTTTATATACAACTATCTTGAGGTTGGAACAACTTGGTGTATAGCCCAAGAAAGGAAGTTAGGTCACTCATACCCCACAGAGATCAGGTGAAGGAAGTGATGAGATGCCAGCTTGTTAACAGTTGAGAGGGAAGTGAAAAAGCATAGACCGGGTAGGCCAGTGTCAAGATTTCATCTGTAGCAGAGATTCTTAACATTTTGGGGCGGGGGGAAACACATCTTTTTGGTAAAAATTGATTGCCCCCTTCTCATAGAAGTGAGCATATACATAAAATTTTACATGTAAGCTTAAGGGGTTCATAGACACCTGGATTAAAGTTTCATGATCTATAAAATCCTCAAGGCTGCATAATGTAACACTGATATTTCCAAATATGGTTTATAGACTCATGATGAACTATCATACCTCTCAGTAACAGCTGCTCCTTCAGAAGTGCATTTTGCTGGGTATACTGCCTAGACTTAATACTATTACAAGAAAGAAACTAGTTATGGGTATTAGCTGGGAGATTCCAATTTTTGAAAATGATGGTAGGTTGGGTATTGTTAGTCTGGCTAAAATATGTGTTATCAGAATTAAAAGAATTTTATGACCTACAGAGCCAAGTAAGATTTACTAACTCATTTGCAATGGCAAAGGTGACTGTACTTCTTTTCCATGGGAAATTGCCCTGACACTTAACAGAGAAGTTTTCAGAAGTCTCTCCATGGTTTCCACAGTACCCCCTTCAATTTATTTCATGTCTTTCTTACCCCCAGCGTCAATCTCAGCTTTTCTTAAAAAAGGCAATATCAAACCCAAACATCATCTCTAGCTATAGCTAGAGATAAATACAACATCATTTTCTGACATACTGACTGCAAATAAAAAACCATGCCCTAGAGTTTTGTAAAGATCATAATGTGAAAGAGGACTATATTGCTCTTAACCACCCTAAGATACAACCCTTTTAAGTTTCTAAAACTTACAGACTGAGATGTAGGAAGTAGTAACTTTAGAGCTCTATAATAGGACATTATTATCATTTAAGAAATGTATTTAATTATGCTGCCTACCTGACCATATGTGGGTAAGAGATTAATTTTAAATGTATAGTAATTTCACTACTTATAAAGAAATACTAATAAATATGTACATTTATCCTACTAATTCATGAATCTAGAGAGGCATTTATTCACTTATAAATTTTGTTTTCTCTGATTGATTTAAAGTCTTTTCATCTTGCTTGTTTTTTTCTTCTGCAGTTAAACTAGAAATTTATAGTTTTTCTCCTAAAAAATGCAACGATGTTCTTTCTTATAAATTGCCCTCTCTGATTTTCTTGTCAGCCTGCTTCAAGGAAATCCAGGTGTTCAATACACTTGCTCGCAGTTTGGCCCAAATCAAATGGTTGTTTAATCCAAATATCTGAGCAGCAAACTGAGCTGATCCTTCTGGAGAAAGTATGGTTGAACAGCCAAGACCTATTCATAAAAGAAAAGACAGAAAATTGAGCTGTAAATTAATAATAAAAATACCACTTACCCAACTATTTTATACTCTCAGAAGCCCTGCTAGCCACAGACAATATAGCTACAATATTATCCTTGTCTGAAGTAAGATCTGTGGAAGGAGTTTCCATCTTTAGTCTTTAGAGTGATAAAGTGATTATAAGATGATAAGTAATATTTATCAGCCAGGAACAGATATTTTATATACAACTATCACTCTTCTCACTGAATCCACTTGCAAAGAAATTTACCTTTTTTTCAAAGTTCTTTTCACATACATTATCCCTTTAAACCCCTGGTGAAACGCAATAGAAATAAAACAAGGAATGAGGTAGAATCATCTGTTCTTAGACAAACCTGAGGTATGTTCATTGTTTTGGTAATTTTCTAGTTATTCCTTTTGTTTTTGCACTTGAATTATTCTAACATTTTTAAGCAGTGGAAAAGTCAAATCCATAAAATAATTTTAAGAAATATTATAAATAAATTCATTAGTAATAAGACAGTAGACTAAGAAAGTAACTTCCTCGGGGACCACAGGTTTGCTCAGGCAGTTTCTCGAGGTGGTACTATTATGTCTGTGTCATTAGAGTCAAGGACTAAATAGGTTATAGATCCAAAAGCTCCAATTTCCCTAAATACTCTTGGAATTCATCAGGCTCTTTGACTCTCAGTATCCCCAATAAGAACAGACTAAAGTATAAATCACAAGATTTAATTTGTATTAATAAATCAATTTACACAGCTCTGCTACTTACTACATAACCAACATCAGGCAAATTATAGTGTCCTTATCTGTAACATGGGAATGATAACTAGTAGCTACCTTATGTGAGGATTCAGTGAGTTAATACAGATAAAGTGCTTGGAGCAGTGCCTGACACATAGTAAATACTCAATGAATGTCAACCATTTAGTAGTAGCAGTAGTAGTAAACTAGGTAGAGCATTCCACTCTAACATGCCTACTGCCCATGACTCACTTTCTGATGTCAAGGAAACCTAATTAGCAAAAAATTAAGTTACCTGGTGAGCATGCCATAAGAGCAAAAGGAACGGAGTGTTCAGGATCTTACACAGGCCACTGTGAAAACACTCCTCAAAAGATTCTCCCCAATTCTAATGATCAGAATCTAAAAATATTCTAGGTTCTGTCTCTCCCTGGATATTACTAGGTAAAAACTGCCATATATTTGCTCAAAATTCCTTTTTCTAAGCTCCATGGATAATATCTATACTATTCATTCCTCTGGCATAAATTTGGGTATTGTTTCATCTATAGTTACAGATTTTTAACTTGGGAAGTTGATATAATCAGATCAGTCTAGCTAAAGATAGATTAGTCACAAGATGTATGTATCTCTGAAACCTATTAAAACAACAGTAAAGGGAATAAAGAAAATAAACATACACAAAGAGATAACAGCAATAACATTTTGGCAAATGGAGTACTAACTAACTTAGCAGACCAAGAAAATTTAATCCTAACTAGTAGCAGGGAAAGATGAGAAGCAACCTGACATTACAGAACCCACTCAAATGTTGAGGAACTGGTGACACCAGATACCTTTTAGGGGAGGAATCAGGTTGAAAATGGGGCTAAAAAGAAGACGACTGAGTGAAAGTCAAGAAGAAGTAAGGCCATCAGATCCTCCTCCCCACTCTGTACCTGAACAATGGCCCCTTCTGCACCGTGGCAGAGTTTTTAATTCTTCTGGAGGCAAAACAGACTTTAGTCCAGACTTCTGTGCCAAGCAGGCACAGGTGAAGCAAGGAATGCCACAGTGAAAACATGGGATTAAGTTTGCATACGTTAACAAACTCAGGCAGGAGCCTGAGACTAAAAAGGTTCTCTGGGTAATTCTAGCCAACATGAGAAAAGATCAAAGACACTGATGTGAGGGGTTATTCAAAAAATGACCCTACAAGATCACTCACAGTGGAGGCCACTTTTGACAAGCCCTATCCACTTGCAGAGCTTCCAATTGATTTTTTATGACACGTTTTTTAAAAAAAAATTTGTATTTATTTATTTGGCCATACCAGGTCTTAGTTAAGGCGCACAGGATCTTCATTGCCGTGTGCGGGATCTTCATTGCAGGATGTGGGATCTTTTAGTTGCGGCATGCATGTGGGATCTAGTTCCCTGACCAGGGGTGGAACCTGTGCCCCCTGCATTGGGAGCGTGAAGTCTTAGCCACTGGACCACCAGGGAACTCCCTCCAATTGGTTTTTACAGTGCCATTCTTAAACAAGAGAAAACAGCCAAGGCTTATTACCAAACAGCTATGGAAAGGAACTAATATGAAAGGAACAATAATAATCTCAGAGAGATAAAGGAGGTTATTGCAAAGATTAAAAAAGAAAAGGATGTTTGGGAAGGTGGTAGGGGGAGACCAGAGAACAAAAAAGAGCTGTAAGAAATTCAAAATACCACATTCAAAATGAAAAGCTCAATAGATGGGTTGAAATGTAAAGTTGAAGAGATCTTGCAGAAAGTATGGCAACAAGAATAAGAAAACAGGGACTTCACTGGTGGTGCAGTGGGTAAGACTCCATGCTCCCAATGCAGGGGGCCCGGGTTCGATTCCTGGTTGGGGAACTAGATCCCACATGCATGCTGCAATTAAGAGTCCACATGTCACAATGAAGATCCTGCGTGCCGCAACTACGAAGTCTGCACACCACAACTAAGACCCAGCACAGCCAAAAATAAAATAAATATTAAAAAAAGAAAGAATAAGAAAACAAAATAGAAATCAAGGCGGTGAAAAGTAAATCCAAAAATGAAAGAAGAAAGAAAATGGAGGCGGAAGGAAATTATTAAGTAATTCCAGAAAATTTCCCAGGACTAAAGAATCAAAGTTCCAGATTAAAAGAGCCCACTACAAGCCCAGGATGAAAACAGACTCACCAAGACGCATCTTCGTGAAATTTAATAATGGATTGATAAAAGATCCAAGAAGTTTCCAGAAAGAAACTATGTTGGATCTTAATTTGAATAAACTGTAAAAACAAATGAGACAACTGGAAAAATGAACACTAGTTGGAAATTAGATTTTAAGAAATTACCATTAATTTTTCTTAGGTGTGAATATGGTATCATTATGATTTTAAAACTAGAGTCTTTATCATTTAGAAAGACATACGTAAATATTGAAGTATAAAATGCCATAATTTCTCAGATCTGCTTTAAATAATCCAGCAGGAGAGGGCTATAGATGCAACAAGATGTTAATTTCTGAAGCTGGGTAATGGGGATGTGAGATTTCATTATGTTATTCTCTCTACTACAGTGCATATTTGAAACTTTTTTAATAAACATTTTTTAAAAATTCAATTATCTTACCACTGGGTAATCGAAGAGAAGACCACACATCCTGAGCTCCCCAGTCTGGAGTGAGGGGAGGACAGCTGATAACTGGATATGCTGTGTTACCAGACATCACTGGTCCTAAACCATTGCTTCTGCCGGCCACTGCCACAAATACAGTAGGAATGCCATCCCCTAGGCAAATTACAAGTTTATAATTAAGCTAAGCACTCAAGAGATTTAAAGATAGGTTAAAAAAAAAAGGGCCCATGTGTAATAACTCCGTGAGTTCTTTAACAGTAGTCTCCAGAAAAAGCACTATATTGACATTATTATTAAATATATATTCAAAATATAAGGTTCTCTCTGCCACTTACTGTATATCAAGTAATGAAGTAGCAAGAAGTTTGGCCATCTTTGAGATCTGTAGTATAAAGGAGGTATAACACCAGGGTGTGAGTGAGGGAATGGTTCAAAGGCCCCTTCCACTATTGCTACTTTGGCTTGCTGAAGCAAAGCATGACCCCACCTGAAGTGGCATCTGTCCTGGTGGCTTTCAACCAACAGGGTATGGAAGACACAATTAATAGAGACTAGAGGTTTAGTGACACTTCTTTTTTTGTTTGTTTTTTAATTTTCAATTTTATCTTATTTTTTTATACAACAGGTCCTTATTAGTCATCAATTTTATACACATCAGTGTATACATGTCAATCCCAATCGCCCAATTCACCACACCACCATGACCACCCCCGGCCGCTTTCCCCCCTTGGTGGCCATACGTTTGCTCTCTACATCTGTGTCTCGATTTCTGCCCTGCAAACCGGTTCATCTGTACCATTTTTCTAGGTTCCACATATATGCGTTTAGTGACACTTCTTGAAATAAGAGTTGAGGAACTGAATTCAATAATATAGTACCCAAATATTTAAGACCCTTCAATATATTTTTAAACATACCTCATAAATATTTTATTCTTTCATAAATTCATAAGTTATTCCTTTGTTTCCTACAACAGTTATTCCTAACTTAGAATCCAAAATTTTACATTTGCATCTTTCTGGAGAAAGAGATCTGGCTTTTATTAGCTTATCAAAGAGGTCTGAGACATTCCCACCCACCCCCTGAAAAAAAAAAAACCTCCAAAATTCAGTAAATATGCTCCTATAGCAACTACCTTCAGAAGGAATACTCAACCAATACTTTTTCCAGTTGAGAAACATTCCAATCTACAGGGCTCCATATTTTAGATACTATCCCATCAAGACATTTCTTTCATATACTAAATTCTGAAATTATTCCTTATTTTCATGTTTGACTGCCTCCCAGGAAAGGCTGACCCTTAAAGATACTTGAGAGGATCTGCTGCTTCAACCCTAGGCCCTCCTTCTGTAATTGACGTGGGGCCTATCTTCTGTTGGAGCATATTAGAAATGATGCTTGAGGGGATTAGGTAAAGACTAATTCTAGTCTTCATTTTCCTCCCATGCTTGCATTTTCAGTTCTTCCTCCCTGGTCCATTCTTTTATAAGCCCCTAGAGTACCTTGAAACTTTTGGAGGTAAACATCATGAAAGCCTAGAATATCACATTTTTTCCCTTGGAATGTGGTGAAACTATTTTTCAGCATTATTAGTCTAAACATAAAATTTGGGGCAAAATCAGGAGAACTGCCTGAAATGCTCTAGTTATTCTACATTTACCTTCATACTCGGCTTTAATCCTCAGAGTTTCATCTGGTCCTTTATGGGCAGATGTTACCCTAAGTTCACAGGGAATGCCAAAATTTCCACAAGCCTTCTTAATTTTTTCACAGTGACTAAGATCAGAGGTTGAGCCCATCAGTACTACAACTCTACACTGACTTTCTGGTTTCAGAAGCAACTGGAAAAGAAAAACATGAATAGGCAAAAGAAGGCAAAGACAGAAATGAATAAATATAGGAATGAGTACTGTAAGAATAGTCAGTTTACAGAGCTATAGTTTATAGTAAAATTACAACCTGACATATTTCCTTTAATAGACCAAATTTAAGACAGACAAGCAGAACAAAATGATAGAGGATTTATTTTTCAAAATAACCTCTCTATATAAAGGAGAGTGGTCTTCATAACTAAGACCTAATGAGTAAGATTTTTAATCAGATAAATTGTTTATTATTGTAATAAAAAGCAAGGATAAATACTCAAACCTTTTAATTAATATTCAGGAAGCTACAATATAAAATATGTCATGGAAGATTTTTAGTATTCTGTTCAATGGGGGTTTTAAGGTATAATCAGCCATAAAAGAAGTCATATTATAAATCTTTTTAAGTTAGTTACTTGGAATTCAAAATGCATGTTCCTATGGAAATGATGTTCTAAAAAGTAGTTACTACCCTTGGATAACCATAAACCTCATTCAATTTCCATGGAATTATACTAATAATAATACCATAAGTTTTAGAGTGACATTTTAGTATCACATGGAGTTCCAATTCTAAACTCTTGCTAGTGGAACTCTGAGTAGCAGTGGAGAGGTGGGTAGGAAGTGTAAGGCTTCTCCTATAGGGGGCAGGGAGGAAAGGATTCCAGGTTTCCCCAACAGGATTTGGGAGATGAGGACTGGCCAGTTTCATAGCAGGGAGTTCCAGTATGCCAGTGAGGATAGTTCAGCTGGTACAGTTTTTAAAGGTGCTCCTTTCTTTGAAGTCACTGGAAAAAAGAAAAGCACTGCACCCTCTCATTTTTTTTTTTTCTTCTTTTTGAAGCAAGATTTTCTTGGAGAAAAACATACAATACTGACTTATTACAAAAGGTTTACCTCTACTCTTTCTGCAACCCACTCAAAATTTTTCTTTACCATCTGCAGCCCTTCAGGAGTTACTTCCTTGAGGTCACGATATGACTAGAAAATAAGATAGAAAGTTTAGAATACAACTACTAGATGTGCATGAACTCCCCCTACTCCTTCCCCCCAAAAACACCCAGCAACTAGATCTAGTAAGCAGAGATGACTGATGTGAGCCACCATTACAGAGACTCACTACCTCTCACCCAATTCCCAGACCTAAGTCAGTTCAAAGAGCCAGAATTTTCTGATAGAAAAGAAGACTGGGTAAAGTATTCCATTAGTAATATTCTTCCTATCTGAAATTATTTGGTTTCTGAGTTTTGGGTACAGATTATGAAGGGTTTGCATAGCAAAGGATATATCTGAAAATGTATGTGAGTCAACAAATTCATTTCCTGATTTAGACTAGAGAAAGTTCAGATAGTGATGGATACTTGTATTTTCATTTGAGTTACTTCACCAGCAACTACAATTAGCTGTCCTGACAATACTTACGGATTAAGTATAGAGAGGGTCTTGCCCTAATTTTGTTTTTCATAGGAAAGACAGATATGGAGCCTGATAAGATCTGTAAGACCCAAGTTCCAGATCTGCCACTAACTCTTGTAACTGTGAAGATATCTATCATCTTAGAGCCTTAGGTTTCAATTAGCCAAACAAGGATAATACTTACTCTGTGTGAGTCTATTAAAATAACAAATGAGAAATCTGCTTCATAAATGTAAAGTATCACTCCTATCTTTTTTCTATGATATATAAAACACAAGAGATACTTATCTTTAAAAATAAATAGGAATCAACAACTCAGGTTCATATCCTAAGTAACAATAACTGACTTTTCTTTTCCTCCCATCTTCCCCTTCTCTATCCCAGCCTAATCTTGCAAAGGATTAAAGAAAACCTGAAGCATTACCTACCTGTTTGTCTTTTTGTTGGCTTCGATCTCCTGATGGCCAGAGTCTCCAAGAATCATTATCAATAACATCAGCAAGAACAATTTCTTTGGTGGTTACATCAACACCAAATTCAATCTAGAAATAGCACATGACCAAAGAGTTTTTCAAAATTACTACTAAAGACATTTCTCGGTTATAACCTTTACTTTCAAAACTCCATTTCATTTGTACCTTCATATCAACCAGTGTACAGTTCTGGGGCAACCAGGATTTCTCCAGTATTTCAAAAATAGCCTGTGTAGCATGACTCATGATATCCACTTCAGTTTGGCCTATAACAAGTCCAGCAAAGCAAAAATTTGCAGCAATTAGCTGTTCCTCAGACCACTGTGGATCATTATTAGCATCATCCTGAGAAAAAAGTATAGAAGTACAATTAAATACAAAAATTTTAAACTTTTCAGATAAACTGAAGTCCTTTTTCCCTTGAGCACGATAAATTCCTCAGAAATATTCATTTTCTCTAAATATTTAATGTTTGTTTAAAATACCCTTTAATTCACAGCAATCATTTTAAACTCTATTTTCAATAGCTACTTTAAAATTCAAAATTTTGGGGTAACTTATTCTATGTCATAAAGTATTCGTAAAGAATTTGCTTTCCATACATAAATAACTTAAATACAAGTTTGTGATTTTTATCTTTCCTTAATCAGAGGCAACAGAGATGGTAAGAAGGCCAAAACACATTTTAGTCCACCAAAATCTTTCCAGAATGCAACTTTCATAATTCCCTGAGCTTATATCTGATAAGAATTCATACAAGACTATAAATCCTCAGTTACATTACTTGATAATTCAAGAGACTTCGTGCAAAGTAGAGATGCGTGAAAAAATACTTTCATTTTATTCTAAGTAGTGTCCCAACTGAACATGAAATTTTTCTTTTATGGATTCTTGATGTGTATAATTATAAGACAATGCTTTAAGCTGTGCAGTTCACTGAATAAAAGTGCAACAGCAGGGAATTCCCTGGTGGTCCAGTGGTTAGGACTCCGTGCTTTTACGGCCGAAGGCCTGGGTTCAACCCCTGGTTGGAGAACTAAGATCCCACAAGTTGCACAGCGCAGCCCATAAATAAATAAATAAATAAATAAAATAAAAAGCAACAATAACATCGCTTCTGAAATAGAAGAAATATACTTAACAGCATAAACAAAGATGAAAAGAAAAAAGCAGTTTCAATAAAGAAAACCAATACAAATTAATGACCGTTGATTCCTACATCCTTTATTGTATGTTTTTGCTGATAAGGAACACTGAGAGTAACAGTTTTTCTGTATTAGAATATAAAAAGATCCCTTGGGAGTTCCCTGGTGCATAGTGGTTAGGATTCCAGGCTTTCACTACTGTGGCCTGGGTCCAATCCCTGGTTGGGGAACTGAGATCCTACAAGCCACACAGTGTGGCCAAAATATATATATATATAAAAAGGTCCCCTTATTAGCCTTTACTTCAAACTCTTCAATAATAGATTTAAAAATTTACTAAATTGTTACTTTTCTCTTTTTCCTAATAACTGCTAATTGTACTTTTTATTTTTTAACATCTTTATTGGAGTGTAATTGCTTTACGTTGTTGTGTTAATTTCTGCTGTATAACAAAGTGAATCAGCTATACAAACACATATATCCCCATATCCCTTCCCTCTTGCAACTCCCTCCCACCCACCCTATCCCACCCCTCTAGGTGGTAACAAAGCACCGAGCTGATCTCCCTATACTATGAGGCAGCTTCCCACTAGCTAGCTATTTTACATTCAGTAGTGTATATATGTCAATACCACTCTCTCACTTCGACCCAGCTTAACCTTCCCCGTCCCCATGTCCTCAAGTCCAATCTCTACATCTGTGTCTTTTTTCCTGTCCTGCCGCTAGGTTCTTCAGGACTTTTTTTTTTTAACATTCCATATATATGTGTAAGCATACAGTATTTGTTCTTCTCTTTCTGACTTACTTCACTCTGTATGACAGACTCTAGGTCCATCCACCTCGCTACAAATAACTCAATTTCGTTTCTTTTTATGGCTCAGTAATATTCCATTGTATATATGTGACACATCTTCTTTATCCATTCATCTGTTGCTGCACACTTAGATTGCTTCCATGTCCTGGATATTGTAAATAGCGCTACAGTGAATATTGTGGTATATGTCCCTTTTTGAATTATGGTTTCCTCAGCGTATATGCCCAGTAGTGGGATTGCTGGGTCATATGGTAGTTCTATTTTTAGTTTTTTAAGAAACCTCCATACTGTTCTCCATAGTGGTTGTATCAATTTACAGTCCCACCAACAGTGCAAGAGGGTTCCCTTTTCTCAACACCCTTACCAGGCTTCATTGTTTCTAGATTTTTTAATATGGCCATTCTGACTGGTGTGAGGTGATACCTCATTGTAGTTTTGATTTGCATTTCTCTAATGGTTAGTGATGATGAACATCCTTTCATGTGTTTGTTGGCAATCTGTATATCTTCTTTGGAGAAATGTCTATTTAGGTCTTCTGCCCATTTTTGGATTGGGTTGTTTGTTTTTTGATATTAAGTTACATGAGCTGCTTGTAAATTTTGGAGATTAATCCTTTGTCAGTTGCTCTGTTTGCAAATATTTTCTCCCATTCTGAGGGTTGTCTTTTTTTTTTTTTTTTTGGTACGCGGGCCTCTCACTGTTGTGGCCTCTCCCGTTGCAGAGCACAGGCTCCAGACGCGCAGGCTCAGTGGCCATGGCTCACGGGCCCAGCCGCTCCGCGCATGTGGGATCTTCCCAGACCGGGGCACGAACCCGCGTCCCCTGCATCGGCAGGTGGACTCTCAACAGCTGCACCACCAGGGAAGCCCCTGAGGGTTGTCTTTTCATCTTGTTTATGCTTTCCTTGGCTGTGCAAAAGCCTTGAAGTTTCAATAGGTCCCATCTGTTTTTGTTTTTATTTCCATTACTCTAGAGGTGGGTAAAAAAGGATCTTGCTGTGATTTATGTCACAGAGTGTTCTGCCTATGTTTTCCTATAAGAGTTTTATAGTGCCTGGCCTTACATTTAGCTCTTTAATCCATTTTGAGTTTATTTTTGTGTATGGTGTTAGGGAGTGTTCTAATTTCATTCCTTAACATGTAGTTGTCCAGTTTTCCCAGCAGCACTTATTGAAGAGGTTGTCTTTTCTGCATTGTATACTCTTGCCTCCTTTATCAAAGATAAGATGACCATACGTGCATAGGTTTATCTCTGGGCCTTCTATCCTGTTCCATTGATCTATATTTGCTTTTGTGCCAGTACCATACTGTCTTATTACTGTACCTTTGTAGCACAGTCTGAAGTCAGGGAGCCTGATCCCTCCAGCTGTTTTTCTTTCACAAGACTGCTTTGGCTGTTCAGGGTCTTTTGTGTTTCCATACAAATTGTGAATTTTTTTGTTCTAGTTCTGTGAAAAATGCCAGTGGTAGTTTGATAGGGATTGCATTGAATCTGTAGATTGCTTTGGGTAGTAGAGTCATTTTCACAATGCTGATTCTTCCAATCCAAGAACATGGTATATCTCTCCATCTGTTTGTATCTTTAATTTCTTTCAATGGTGTCATAGTTTTCTGTATACAGGTCTTTTGCATCCTGAGGTAGGTTTATTCCTAGGTATTTTATTCTTTTTGTTGCAATGGTAAATTGGAGTGTTTCCTTAATTTCTCTTTCAGATTTTTCATCATCAGTGTATAAGAATGCAAGAGGGCTTCCATGGTGGCGCAGTGGTTGAGAGTCCGCCTGCCGATGCAGGGGACATGGGTTCGTGCCCCGGTCCGGGAAGATCCCACATGCGCGGAACGGCTGGGCCCGTGAGCCATAGCCACTGAGCCTGCGCATCCCGAGCCTGTGCTCCGCAACGGGAGAGGCCACAACCGTGAGAGGCCCACGTAACACACACACACACACAAAGAATGCAAGAGATTTCTGAGCATTAATTTTGTATCCTGCAACATTACCAAATTCATTGATTAGCTCTAGTAGTTTTCTGGTAGCATCTTTAGTATTCTCTATGTATACTATCATGTCATCTGCAAACAGTGACAGTTTTACTTCTTTTCCAATTTGGATTCCTTTTATTTCTTTTTCTTCTCTGATTGCTGTGGCTAAAACTCCCAAAATTATGTTGAATAATAGTGGTGAGAGTGAGCAACTTTGTCTTGCTCCTGATTTTAGTGGAAAGGGCTTCAGTTTTTCACCACTGAGAACGATGCTTGTTGTGGGTTTGTCATATATGGCCTTTATTATGTTGAGGTAAGTTCCCTCTATGCCTACTTTCTGGAGAGTTTTTATCATAAATGGGTGTTGAATTTTGTCAAAAACTTTTTCTGCATCTACTGAGATCACATAGTTTTCATCCTTCAATTTGTTAATATGGTGTATCACATTGATTGATTTGCATATATTGAAGAACGCTTGCATTCCTGGGATAAACCCCACTTGATCATGGTGTATGATCCTTTTAATGTGCTGTTGGATTCTGTTTGCTAGTATTTTGTTGAGGATTTTTGCATCTACGTTCATCAGTGATATTGGCCCATAGTTTTCTTTTTTTGTGACATCTTTGCCTGGTTTTGGTATCAAGGTGATGGTAGCCTTGTAGAATGAGTTTGCGAGTGTTCCTCCCTCTGCTATATTTTGGAAGAGTTTGAGAAGGATGGGTGTTAGCTCTTCTCTAAATGTTTGATAGAATTCGCCTGTGAAGCCATCTGGTCCTGGGCTTTTATTTGTTGTAAGATTTTGAATCACAGTCAATTTCAGTGTCTGTGATTGGTCTGTTTATATTTTCTATTTCTTTCTGGTTCAGTCTTGGAAGGTTGTTTTTCTAAGAATTCCTCTATTTCTTCCAGATTGTCCATTTTATTGGCATAGAGTTGCTTGTAGTAATCTCTCATGATCCTTTGTATTTCTGCAGTGTCAGTTGTTACTTCTCCTTTTTCATTTCTAATTCTGTTGATTTGAGTCTTCTCCCTTTTTTGTTTTTTTTTGATGAGTCTGGCTAAAGGTTTATCAATTTTGTTTATCTTCTCAAAGAACCAGCTTTTAGTTTTATTGATCTTTGCTATAATTTCCTCCATTTCTTTTCATTTATTTCTGATCTGATCTTTATGGTTTCTTTCCTTCTGCTAACTTTGGGGTTTTTTTTGTTCTTCTTTCTCTAATTGCCTTACGTGTAAGGTTAGGTTGTTTACTTGAGATATTTCTTGTTTCTTGAGGTAGGATTGTTTTGCTATAAAATTCCCTCTTAGAACTGCTTTTGCTGCATCCCATAGGTTTGGCGTTGTCATGTTTTCATTGTCATTTGTTTCTAGCTATTTTTTTATTTCATCTTTGATTTCTTCAGTGAACTCTTGGTTATTTAGTAGTGTAATTGTTTTTTTTTCGCGGTTACGTGGGACTCTCACTGTTGTGGCCTCTCCTGCTGCGGAGCACAGGCTCCGGATGCGCAGGCTCAGCAGTCATGGCTCACGGGCGTAGCCGCTCCGCGGCATGTGGGATGTTCCCAGACCGGGGCACGAACCCATGTCCCCTGAATCAGCAGGCAGACTCTCAACCACTGCACCACCAGGGAAGCCCCCTAGTAGTGTATTTTTTAGCCTCGATGTGCTTATATTTTTTTACAGTTTTTTTCCTGTAATTGATATCTAGTCTCAGCATTGTGGTTGAAAAAAGATACTTGATATGATTTCAATTTTCTTCAACTTACCAAGGCTTGATTTGTGACCCAAGGTATCATCTGTCATGGAGAATGTTCCATCAGCACTTGAGAAGAAAGTGTACTCTGTTGTTTTTGGATGGAATGTCCTGTAAATATCAATTAAGTCCATCCTCTTAAATGTGTCATTTAAAGCATGTGTTTCCTTATTTATTTTCATTTTGGTTGATCTGTCCATTGGTGAAAGTGGGGTGTCTAAGTCCCCTACTATTATTGTGTTACTGTCAATCTTCCCTTTTATGGCTGTTACCATTTGCCTCATGTATTGAGATGCTCTTATGTTGGATGCATAAGTATTTACAACTGTTACATCTTTTTCTTGGATTGATCCCTTGATCATTCTGTAGTGTTCTTGTCTCTTGTAATAGTCTTTATTTTAAAGACTATTTTTGTCTGATATGAGATTTGCTACTCTAGCTTTCTTTTGATTTCCATTTGCATGGAATGTCTTTTTCCATTCCCTCACTTTCAGTCTGTATGTGTCCATAGGTCTGAAATGGGTCTCTTGTAGAGAGCATAAATAAGGGTCTTGTTTTTGTATCCATTCCGCCAGTCTATGTATTTTGGTTGGAGCATTTAATCCATTTACTTTTAAGGAAATTATAGATATGTATGTTCCTATTACTATTTTCTTAATGTTTTGGGTTTGTTATTGTAGGTCTTTTTCCTTCTCTTGTGTTTCCTGTCTAGAGAAGTTCCTTTAGCATTCGTTGTAAAGGTGGCTTGGTGGTGCTGAATTCTCTTAGCTTTTGCTTGTCTGTAAAGGTTTTAATTTCTCTGTCAAATCTGAACGAGATCCTTGCCCGGTAGAGTAACCTTGGTTGTAGGTTCTTCCCTTTCATCACTTTAATTATGTCTTGCTACTCCCTTCTGGCTTGCAGAATTTCTGCTGAAAAACCAGCTGTTACCCTTATAGGGAGTCCCTTGTATGTTATTTGTTGCTTTTCCCTTGCTGCTTTTAATATTTTTTCTTTGTATTTAATTTCCGATAGTTTGATTAATATGTGTCTTGGCATGCTTCTCCTTGGATTTATCCTATATGGGACTCTGCACTTCCTAGACTTGATTGACTATTTCCTTTCCCATATTAGGGAAGTTTTCAACTATAATCTCTTCAAATATTTTCTCAGTCCCGTTTTTTTCCTATTCTTCTTCTGGGACCCCTATAATTCGAATCTTCGTGCATTTAATGTTGTCCCAGAGGTGTCACAGATGGTCCTCAATTATTTTCATTCTTTTTCCTTTATTCTGCTCTGCAGTAGTTATTTCCACTATTTTATCTTCCAGGTCACTTATCCCATCTTTTGCCTCAGTTATTTTGGTATTGATTCCTTCTAGAGAATTTTTAATTTCATTTACTGTGTTGTTCATCATTGTTTGTTTGCTCTTTAGTTCTTCTAGGTCCTTGTTAAACATTTATTGCGTTTTCTCCGTTCTATTTCCAAGATTTTAGATCATCTTTACAATCATTACACTGAATTATTTTTCAGGTAGACTGCCTATTTCCTCTTTATTTGGTCTGTTGGGCTTTTACCTTGCTCCTTCATCTGCTGTGTATTTCTCTGTCTCTTCATTTTGCTTAACTAACTGTGTTTGAGGTCTCCTTTTCACAGGCTGCACATTCGTAGTTTCTGTTGTTTTTGGTGTCTGCCCCCAGCGGGTAAGGTTGGTTCAGTGGGTTGTGTAGGCTTCCTGGTGGAGGGGACTGGTGCCTGTGTGCTGTTGGATGAGGCTGGATCTTGTTTTTCTGGTGGGCAGGACCGTGTCTGGTGTTGTGTTTTGGGGTGTCTGTGAACTTATGATTTTAGGCAGCCTCTCTGCTAATGGGTGGGGTTGTGTTCCTGTCTTGTTAGTTGTTTGGCATGGGCTGCCGAGCACTGGAGCTTGCTGGTCGTTGAGTGGAGCAGGGTCTTAGCACTGAGACAGAGATCTCTGGGAGAGCTCTCGCCAATTGATATTACATGGGGCCAGGAGGTCTCTGGTGGTCCAGTGTCCTGAACTCGGCTCTCTTACCTCAGAGGCTCAGGCCTGACACCTGGCCGGAGCACCAAGACCCTGTCAGCCTCACGACTGTAGAAAACAGTAATTTTTTCTTTAATCTTTCTATTGGTTTTCCTTTTACAAAACAGGCAGTTTAATCTCATTATGTGAAGGCCTCACTCGGGCTTCACCTAATAGGGTTCAAAGAGTACAGGTGATTTGAATCTGGTTCTTGTGTTCATCTTCTTTTCTTCACCCAGGCTTCCCACCAACCTGTTCCTGGGAATTCCCTGGCTGTCCAGTGGTTAGGACTCCGAGATTTCACTGCCTAGGGCACGGCTTCAATCCCTGGTTGGGGAACTAAGATCCTGCAACCCACCTTCAAAAACAAAAAACACCTTTTCCTGAGGACAAAGTGTCACACCATGCTTCTGGGAAAGGCTCTCCCAGTGACTCGTAACTGCTAATTTTAATTTCTTCATTTTGTTAGTCATGTTGGTCCAAAATAAGATAAGCAGATTTTCAAAGGTTTTCTTTAAAAAATCTGAATTATCATTGCTAATTAAAGTGTACATTTTTGACAAATATTTCTGGAATGACAACTGTAGTATCAAAAGCTTTGATAATGGGCTTCCCTGGTGGCGCAGTGGTTGAGAGTCCGCCTGCTGATGCAGGGGACACGGGTTCGTGCCCCGGTCCGGGAGGATCCCACGTGCCGCGGAGCGGCTGGGCCCGTGGGCCATGGCCGCTGAGCCTGCGCGTCCGGAGCCTGTGCTCCGCAACGGGAGAGGCTGCAGCAGTGAGAGGCCCGTGTACCGCAAAAAACAAAGAAACAAACAAAAAAACAAAAAAGCTTTGATAATATTTAAATCTTTTGACTTTGTAATAAACTTGTTGCTATGTTATAGTAAGACAGGGAGGTATAAGATAATTACCTTGAAAAACATCTCTACTTTAGGTGGGTAGAACTTATATCCTTCCTTGACACCAGGATTTCTTTTGAGAAAAGAGCCAGTTGCTATTCTTCTACAAACCCATTCAATTGGAATCATTTCACACTTAGGTGCAATGAAAGCTGTCTCTCCACATTTTCTGGTGAAAGCAGTTTTGATACCTACAGATTGATGAGAAAAAGAAAAAATTAAAACTGTATTTAAAAAGGGAGCTCAGAGGCATAATAAAACTCTACCCTTTACAAAAAACAAAACAAAAAGTCTATGTAGCCAAATGCATTACCCTTAAATGGCACTATCAAAAACAAATGTAATTTTTTTTAAAAGGCAGAAATAGGAAAAAAAAGTATTAATATGGCTTTCTACTGCTTATCAAAATATTCAGGAATATTTCATGTTAATGTTGCAAGGCAAGCTGTCAAAAAATCTGTGTCCCAATGTTTTTATCATCATTCATCTATTCAAAAAATACTATCTCCTCTGCCACTGTGCACCTAACTTTGCACAAGGCACATGACTAAGTGACAGTAAATTATCTCTAAATCAGATCTGGTGGCAGAATTCTCATTCTATGGTTCAGGATTATATGGGCCTTGTAAAATATTAATCTATTTATCATAATCAGATACAGCCATAAATTCTGGACAGCCTTTTTCTGTCAATATTTAAAGCAAAGAGTCCTTGAAAAAAGCATTCAACAGGTAGCAGCAGGAACATGGGGGCCAATTTGGCCAAGAGCAAAGACAATATTTGCCCGTCCTCTGTTCACTCTTACGCAAACTGTTACTGGAAAATTAAGATAAAGAGCTAGTTTATGTGGCAGCCTTGGAAAATAACAACCTCTCTTATAGTAGTTACAATGTATTATAAGCTATATGATCCAGCAATTCTACTCTAAGTATATACACAAAAGAACTGAAAGCAAGGTCTCAAACAGATATTTGTACACCAATGTTCACAGTATCATTATTAACAACAGCCAAAAAGGGGGAAATAACCCAAATGTCTAACAACAGATGAGTGTAGTGGACAGACAAAATGTAGTTTACAGGGCTTCCCTGGTGGCGCAGTGGTTGAGAATCTGCCTGCCAATGCAGGGGACACAGGTTCGAGCCCTGGTCTGGGAAGATCCCACATGCCATGGAGCAACTGGGCCCGTGAGCCACAATTACTGAGCCTGCGCGTCTGGAGCCTGTGCTCCGCAACAACAGAGGCCGCGATAGTGAGAAACCTGCGCATCGCGATGAAGAGTGACCCCCACTTGCCACAACTAGAGAAAGCCCATGCAGAGAAACGAAGACCCAACACAGCCATAAATAAATAAATAAATAAATAAATAAATAAATAAATAAATAAATACATTGTGTATAAAGAAACCACGATCCCATTAGCCCTGTTTAAATAAATAAATAAATAAATAAATAAAAAATAAATAAAATGTAGTTTACATACAATGAATTACTATTCAGTCACAAAAAGGAGGGAATTCTGATATATGCTACAGCATGATGAATGATTCATGAAAACATAATGCTGAGTGAAATAAAGGTGAAAATTGTATAATTCCACTTATATGAGGTACCTAAAATAGGCAAATTCATAGAGACAGAAAGTAGAATAGAGGTTATCAGGGGAGAGTTATTGTTTAATGGGTCAGAGGTTCTGTCTGAAATGATGAAAAAGTTCCGGAAATTGATAGTGGTGATGGTTGCACAACATTGTCAGTGTACCTGAATGCCACTGAATCCTACACTTAAAAATGGTTAACATGGTAAATTTTATGTGTGTATATTTTACCACAATTTGCAAGACCTACTTTAGGTCAGGCATTTTAAATTTATTTTCTTTTTGCTTAATCCTCATAGCACCTGATAAGGTATGATGTTCATCCAGTGAAACAGATAACAACACCGAGACACAGGAGTTATGTCAGCTAGTACTAGGTAAAGAAGGGTTTCTAACCCACACTGAACTCTTTATGCTGCTCACTTAACCACTATGCTATACTGCCTCTCCTAGACGTGTTATTACATCATAGCACTAACGTGAATTAAAGTATCTCCTGGAAACTTGCATGGGTTTAACATAATAATGCTCATCTTTGGGCTACAATATTAGTACCTCCAATCCCCATCCAAACCTCTGATAAGATCAAATTTTTCTTATCAGAAAAGGACTGAAGATCTTTGATCTTATGTATCTATGTATGTATGTACATATGTATGTATCCATATGTAAAGGGAACCTACATTTATGGAAACCCTGCATCATGCTGAGTGTTTTATTTATTTTAAAATATTTATTTATTTATTTATTTATTTATTTTGGCTGCACCACGTCTTAAGTTGCGGCACGCAGGATCTTTAGCTGCGGCATGCAAACTCTCAGTTGCAGTATGCATGTGGGATCTAGTTCCCTGACCAGGGATAGAACCCAGGTCACCTGCATTGGGAGCATGGAGTCTTAGCCACTGGACTACCAGGGAAGTCCCCGAAGTGTTTTACATATTGTCTCATTTAAACATACATAAAATTTTTGAGGTAGCGTTATTATTCACATTTTACAGTGAAAGAAGTAGAGGCTCACGGCAGTTAAGTAACTTAACAAGTCAGGTCATGCTGCCAATCCGTAATGGAGCCTGGACCTGAAATGCACTATCCAGTTTTTAAACCTGTACTGTTTTCTCCACATTCCCTCTGGGTTTCACCAGGAAGATGCAATTAAAACAGGGAAAAGAATAAATTGTGGACTTCCCTGGGGTCGCAGTGGTTAAGAATCCAGCTGCCAATGCAGGGGACATGGGTTCAAGCCCTGGTCTGGGAAGATTCCACATGCCACTGAGCAACTAAGCCTGTGCATCAAAACTACTGAAGCCTGCGTACCTAGAGCCTGTGCTCCACAACAAGAGAAGCCACCGCAATGAGCAGCCTGCTCACCGCAATGAAGAGTAGCCCCCACTTGCCGCAACTAGAGAAAGCCCTTGTGCAGCAATGAAGACCCAATGCAGCCGAAAAATAAATAAATTTATAAATAAATAAATTGTTGTATGCTGCACGAACAGCAACTCTGGGAAAGAATGTTAAAAGTGTCAATATTTAGGGGCTTCCCTGGTGGCGCACTGGTTGAGAGTCCACCTGCCGATGCAGGGGACGTGGGTTCGTGCCCTGGTCCGGAAAGATCCCACATGCCACGGAGTGGCTGGGCCTGTGAGCCATGGCAGCTGAGCCTGCGCATCCGGAGCCTGTGCTCCGCGATGGGAGAGGCCACAACAGTGAGAGGCCTGCGTACCGCAAAAAAAAAAAAAAAAAAAAAAGTGTCAATATTTAGGCCATTTTAACCTTTAATGAATGATTGGGCTCATGGGCAGGCAGATGATTTAAATCAATCCTTAACTTGAGGTGGTAAGTACATGTCTGGGTTTAAGAGCTCTTCTTTTTTAGGTTTGTTACCTAGTAGTCATATTTGCTCAGCTGTCTATCAAGCTTGATAGCCTAGTATCAAAATCTATTTTTCAAATATACACAACAGTTATTGTTACTCAGAGGAAAGTCCTCCCCTATATCTAAGGGAATCAAAACCACAGAATCAACTTATGGTAATGATCTTGTACATTAAAAAAAAAAATTGCTACTAAGAAAAAAGAGATTCAGTTTAGATGATATAATGATTCCTTCTAATATACATGTTAATCATTAAAGCAAATTCCATGGCTTCATACGGTGGGACAAGAAATCCTCCCATTAGTCTCAGTTGTTTACAAAATTCAAAACTCCTATCAAGACTACTAAGAAAATGTAAATGTCATTTCACATTCTGAATTACAATGGCCAAGTATGACAGCGCTGGAGCCATCCCCCTATTAAGGTTGCCCAGCTCCCCACCTGTGGTTTAACAACTGCCAAGACTGTTAGTCATATCACTACTATCACACCAAAATGTAATCATAGTGCATTTCTGTGTAGGAGGGAACTGAAACTTAAAAGGTTAAATTTTGATTTTTTAGTAATGAGACTAAATTCAGGAACTTCAAAATTCAGGTACAGGGTTTCCCTGGTGGCGCAGCGGTTGAGAGTCCGCCTGCCGATGCAAGGGACACGGGTTCGTGCCCCAGTCCAGGAAGATCCCACATGCGCGGAGCGGCTGGGCCTGTGAGCCATGGCCGCTGAGCCTGCGCGTCCTGAGCCTGTGCTCCGCAACAGGAGAGGCCACAACAGTGAGAGGCCTGCGTACCGCCAAAAAAAGAAAAAAAAAAAAATTCAGGTACAGCATGTATAATATAGTCTTTTACAATTTGCTCATGAGTGACAAAGAGAAAACTAGAATTGTGATTTATTGATTCTCATTCTGGTGCTTTTTCCATTCGAATTTCTAGAAATATCTTAATTTGGAATATATGCCTGTTTATAAAGAAAGCAATTCTATTTTACTTTTTTAATAAACTTATTTATTATTTTATTTTATTTTAATTTTATTTTTGGCTGCATTGGGTCTTCGTTGCTGAACACAGGCTTTCTATAGTTGCAACAAGCAGGGGCTACTCTTTTTTGCGGTGCACAGGCTTCTCATTGCAGTGGCTTCTCTTGTTGTGGAGCATGGGCTCTAGGCACGTGGGTTTTAGTAGCTGTGGCACGCGAGCTCAGTAGTTGTGGCTCGCAGGCTCTAGAGCACATGCTCAGTAGTTGTGGCACATAGGCTTAGTTGCTCCGTGGCATGTGGGATCTTCCTGGACCAGGGCTCGAACCCATGTCCCCTGCATTGGCAGGTGGATTCTTAACCACTGCGTCACCAGGGAAGCCCCAAGAAAGCAGTTTTAAATAGACCACTGATGGTCAACCAGACATAGCATTTAACTACTAGCAAGTAAAAATTACATAAGGCTTAACAGAACTCTTAATCCATACCCTAAAACTAATCACCTGTTTAAGAATTTTTAAAACCTTAGATTTTCCACAGTATATAAAACCTAGAAAACAGCTTTCAGGATTTCTTGTGAACCAAGTAAGTTTTAGCTATGTTAAGTGTGCCAAATAGATGATTGCTGGAGTACTTCACATGGATGACCAACCTTCGCAGCTGCACACAGGACCCTGAGAGTCAAAACTGGATCACCCTAATTCACCTGTCCTTAAGCCCTGGCAAGTACACTGAATAGGTGCCTTATTAAATAAGCAAATAAAACCTTGGGCCTGTACTTATCCCCCATTACTTAAATGCATATATATAATCCCAGAGATGGGTACAATTACTATGGGGACACAGAAGCTAGTTGTATTGTTAACAGCTTATAGTGTCTAGCAACTATAAACCATTTTAATGTGTATGGGGAGGAGATAACTTGTGAGGTTAAAAAATGGAGCACTTATTTGTACTGCAAAAGAAACCTAATATTAGTTTGATGCTCTCTCTAGAAATCTACTCAGTCATTGGTAAACCACCAATCAAGGAGGCCTTGAAGTAAAAATCCTGGGTTGTATTACTTATGAACTGAGGGAGGTGCTTTAAATTTACAGCAATATTTTCACCCTCAATGCATAGAGGGATTTATGATATGGATGAAAATTTAGGTTGTCAAGTAAACATATTTTTTACACACTAATTAAAAATGTGAAACAGGGTACTTTGGAAGAGGCAAAAGTACTCAAGAACCTATTCTGTATTGACGGAATGGGTTTAACTTGAATTACCTTGTTATTTTGTGGAAGGCAGATCTATCTTCACTGGAAACAAAGGTATTAAATTCCCCTTTGGATTTAAGAAAGAGTAATTAATTAATTTTAATTACTAATAATTAAGATTAATGCTTACTGGAAAATCTAAGAAATGTGAGGGCAACTGGGAATATTGGAAGTAAAAGGAGACAATGATATTAAACTGTAAAATTAGAACCAGAATGATAAAGAACAAAGCTTTTACTTTACAGATAAGGAACTGGAGCCTTCACACGTTGAATGATCCAAGGCTCAGGGTCTCTTACACTGTAGGCAAAGAGCTCAAATCTTTTGCTGGCTGTGATTTTATACACTACAGACCAATCAGCTTTTGCCTGAATCCCTGCAGAAAAACCGTTGTCCTAATTTCCCTTCTTTCACTCCAAACACCCTCCACAGAATGTTTTGATCTGAATTTCATCTTTTGAATAGATTTCTCTATTGGAAATCATCTTCATTCAGTTTTAGAGCAGGAGGTAACCCTGCAGATCTTGATCTAGTCCAAATCTCTCACTTGGGGTATGGCAGGATGAGAAGGTGTGGTTGCAGTCTTCAATTACTTTTTAGGGCTTTCAAGTACAAGAGGGATTTGAAGTTCTGTATAATCTCCAATGGGTGGAGCAAATTTATATAGAATTTTAGGGACTAAATTTCAATTCATCAATTAGAGCTGCCAAACACCAGAATGTGCTTCTTTCACAGGTTAAGTTCCTTAAGTTCCTTCATAGGTAAGCCTCTCCTAAGATGTCCTAGCAGAGGAAAGCTGCAGAAGTACATGCCAGACAAAGACTGTAGCAAACTGTTAAGATTCCTTTTAACTAACTGAATGATACTACTTAAGTAATTCCCAACCAAGTAAAGTTTTACAGTGAAATTTAAATTTCTGGTTTAATTTAAATAAGTTTAGCATGTGAGGCATCCCCAAACATGCTGTTAAACGAGATAATGCCATCTCCCCATTAAAGAGATCAGAGTGGTACAGGAGGCTATAGTGGGAGTCACTTCCCTGCTTCCTATAACAACTGAAAAAAAAAAAATCAACTGGTTATCAACATCTTCTTTATCCAAATAATGTCATTTCCCGATGAAAAGGACCAGTATGTATATGTGAGAAAGAACATGAAGGGGGAGGCTACTGGGAGAGCCACTCACCTGCTTCCTGTAACAGCTGAAAAATACAACTGGTAATTTTATTTGAGATTGCAGCTTTTCCTTCAAGGTGATTCTTTCTGGCTGCATTTCCTGCTGTAATCTGGTCCTTGGACTGCAGGAGGACTTTTCCTGGACTATCCAACAATTCATAGACTTCTTTTGTTTTACCCTCATAGAGTTTTTTACCAATCTTCAGTACTGTGGAAATAAAACAGAAACATCAGATTTCAGGAAGTTTCGTAGAGAAGATAATTCAGAAGACTAAATTGTCTAGACAATGAATCAGTGAACATAGCATAATTAAATAATTTTAATAAAAATGAACTCATCTGCATAGAACCTTATACTCTACAATTTTCAATGCATCATCACATTTCATTCATAAAATTTTGTGACGAATTTTAATTATGTAAATAATTATATAGATTAGGAAACTAAGTATCAAAAAGTAGAGGTCATACAGTTAAGAAAGAGCAGAGCCAGAAAAAACCCTGTCTTCCGATATCTAATGCTGTGTCATGCTCTTTTCTCTTATCAACCTGTCTCTCTCACAGCAAAACTGAAGTAGAATTAGCTAAAATACATTAAAATTAATGCAACAGGGCTTCCCTGGTGGCGCAGTGGTTGAGAATCTGCCTGCCAGTGCGGGGGACACGGGTTCAAGCCCTTGTCTGGGAAGATCCCACATGCCGCGGAGCAACTGGGCCCGTGAGCCACAACTACTGAGCCTGCGCTTCTGGAGAGGCCGCGATAGTGAGAGGCCTGCGCACCGTGATGAAGCATGGCCCCCGCTTGCCGTAACTGGAGAAAGCCCTCGCACAGAAACGAAGACCCAAAACAGCCATAAATAAATAAATAAATAAATAAATAAAATTAATGCAACAACATGAGTAGTTTCATATATGTTCTCACAATACAATAACTAAACTAGCTTGCAGGGAAAAAAATGCTGTATTTTTCCCGTCTTCTGCTTTCCATGGCAGGCAAAATGGGAAAGTTCAGCCAGATGTGTTTGTTGATTTCAAGTTAATGTGCAAGAGGGGGCACCTCCACCCACTGAAGTTAGCCCATTTGGAAACACCCCCAATCCTTGATCCCCTCTCCTCACTAACAGCTATAGAAAACTGTGAGAAGTAAGGACAAGAGAATCTAATTTTGATGCAGGTCATCACACCTAAAGAGAAGTAGACTTGGGTCATTAGAAAGAATGATTTCGATGAAGATCAGAGATAATAGATATTTAAGGACTTAAAATTTCCAAGAGGAGAAATCACCCCTCATTCTCCCAGAACATCAACTCATTCTCAGTATCTGCATTTTTTAGTGTCCATGTGCCAGTAAATGTACCAGTAAATCGAGTTCCTGCTCTCAAGTGACTGGAGTCTGAGGGAAGCTGAAATTAAACATCATAATAAGCATAATGTGAGAAATACACAGACTATGGGATCACAGGTTCACAGCAGGGTCACTTAACCTAAACTCTGATGTCTAGACGTCAAAGAAGGAAGTCTAGAACAAAGTGAGGATTAGGCTGAGATCTGAGGAATAGTCAAAATTTAGCTGGAAGACGGCAAGGGGTAGAGAGTGGTGGTGAAAAAGATCAGGGGATGAAAGAGCACCTGGCAGAACTTCAGTATGTTTGGAGCACTGTGTGTGTACACTGCTGTTGGGGGTGAAGGGGTGGGGCGTGGGATCGGGTAGCAGCTAAGGAGTAGAAAGGGAAGGCAGGAGATAAGCCTGAGGAATTGGGCAGGGATCACATCACCAGTTAATGAAGGTAACGATTAAACAAAACAGTTACAATTCAGTTTAATAGTTGCCACTGCAGGGTACCTAATTCAGAGGATAAATTCCCATCCTCTTACTGTAATGTCTTGATTCACTGACAAGGTTTAAAAGGTCCTTCCAAGAATGGAGTCCCAGCTCAGGGCTCCAAATTCAGATTTCTCTATTCCCTTCCTAGAACTCCAACTTTGTAACTGAATCTTTATATCCTCCTCTCAGGCTTCTAACATGCTCTTCCCTAGGCCTGAAACACTGTTTCCTTCCCTTCCATTCCACTACTCACCCTTGGGGTCTCACAAGCAATGCTGACTGAGTTTATACTTTATCCTAGGAACAACTATAAAGCTTTTAAGTACTTCAGTAAAGTGACAGAGTTTCTATATTAGAAAGACCATTATGGTTGCTGTGTGGAGAATGAAATGAGGAAGGGGTGGGTGGAAGAAAACTAGAGACTGAGAGACCACTTACGATGCTGTGGCAGCAATCCAGGCAAGAAATGTCCTGGTCTAAAGAAAAAGCAGTTGGGTAAGACTCAAGATATTTAAAAGGTAAAAGTTTTTATAACAATTGATTCAATATGGGGGATAAAAGAAGGGAAAGTTAAGATGTTGCCTGGGTTAGATAATTTGTACCTACTTCTCTCTCTCTCGATTTATTTGAAGTGGTATGTATGTATGTATGTATGTATGTATTTACATACATCCCATACGGCTTGTGGGATCTTAGTTCCCCAACCAGGGATCAAACCTGTGCCCCCTGCAATGGAAGCAAGGAGTCCTAACCACTGGACCAAGAAATTCCCTGAATTGGTATTTATTACTTAATTTTTAAACAGGGTAGGAATTTCAACTAATGGATAGAAATAACATAACATCATAGGAGACATTTGCTATAAGTGCCAAAATGCCTGCTACACATTCATAGATGAATTCAGAAGAGATTGATGAGGGCTGAGAATAATTCATAGAGCTGACATTTAAGAGTACTGAAAGGGGGCTTCCCTGGTGGCGCAGTGGTTGAGAGTCCGCCTGCTGATGCAGGGGACACGGGTTCGTGCCCCGGTCCAGGAAGATCCCACATGCCTCAGATCAGCTAGGCCCGTGAGCCATGGCCACTGAGCCTGTGCTCCGCAATGGGAGAGGCCACAGCAGTGAGAGGCCCGTGTACCGCAATTGAAAGGTACAGAACTTCCACAAAGAGGTAAGAACATCTAGGACTGTGCTGTCCAATAAGGTAGTCACTAGCCACATGTGACTATGGCTATGAAATACTTGAAATGTGGCTACTCCAAACTGAAATTATGTAAGTTAAGCGTAAAATACACAGTGAATTTCAATATGAAAAAAGGTTTGCAAAATTCACAATTTTTTATATTGATTACATGTTGAAATGATACTACTTTGGATATATTGGGTTAAATAATATATATTAAAAATCAGTTCACCTGTTTCTTTTTACTTTTTAAAATGTGGCTACTAGAAAACAAAGTTACATATAGTGTCACATTATATTTCTATTAGACAGCACTGTTCTAGAAGAAACAGCAAAAACAAACATAGAGAAGAGTAAACTTGGTGAATTAACCTACCTGGAATGTAGGCTTAGGATTCGTAAGAGAGAAAAACCTAAGTAAGGGTTGAAGAGGTAGGAAGGAAGCAGTATGCAGGATGTGAATGAAAAGTTCTTCAGGATGGATTTCAATAGCTTTCGCATTGCCAGAGAACATTTTTGGGCAATGAAGTGCCATTTAGAAAGCATAAAAGTGAAAATTTGGAAAAATTAACCTGCCAAAAAAAAAAAAGCAAGATGGAAGGAAGTGGAAGAGCAAAGATTTTAGAGATCTGTCAGTTTAGAGGTATGGCAGGGAAAATTCTGGTCTCATGCATTGATTTTATGGAGTTGTTACTTGTTATCAGGACCATTTTGTTTAGTCTATAGTTTTTTACCTAAATTTAATTTTTCTATGCGGAAGAGAATGTAGTGACTGGCCAACACAAGGAATTTGGTTCACCGTAAGTTTAGAAAGAGTATGGGGGCTGGGGGACAACGTTTTACAGAAAAATAGCACAAACGATCTTTCCTGAGGATCCTAATCACGAGTGGCCAAAATGATTATATAAATATGTAATATAATAAGTGCAAAGTGAAGGAAGGAAATTTTTCCCTGGTGGTTTTGTAACTCTCCAAAGCCATCACTGGCATAAAAAGGCTAAAAACACACAGAAAATCTGCACAGAAAATAGCAAATTTTTCAGAAGGTTCAATTATTAACTTTCTGGAATAGCAGGTTATTATTAGCCTAACAGGAGAAAGCAAGACTTTGGTTTCAAGAGTCAACACTAGATGCTCCTGCGATTGTTTTGCAATATCTACTGATTGCAAACGCGATTTCCAAGCACCTCTCCAACCCCTGGCCATTTCTCTTCCTAACGACCCTTTGCGCCTTTTCCCCATTCCAGAAGCAGTTCTGGATGTTTCAGAAAGTTCGGAAGCCTGGGAGCGCTTTGTTTCCGACGCACCGCTCGGCAGCGCCTGGGCCACGTGCCCGCCAGCCCAGTGGCCTAGTGGGGAGGGTGCAGAGAGACCGGGTTCTGCCCGGGGAAGGCTGCCGTCGGGGCGGCGGGGCGCGCACGTGCCAGCGTGAACCCTGGGCTCAAGGCAGAGGGGCAGGAAGACCGTGGATGGCAGGGAGTCCCAAGTCCTGGGGACGCCTGTTACTCACCCTCGGCCGTCGCCATTATCCGGAGTGGTCTGGAAGCAGCGGCAGCTCTAGGAAGAGAGGCAGGACTCTGGAAAAGAGGAGCGATCAGAGAGGCTCACGGGGCGCGGAAGGGAGGCACGACCCACAGACACGCCCCCGCCGGGGCCACGTAACCCAGAGTGCCCCCTCGCGGTCTCTTCGAGCACCATCGCGGTGACGGACCCTCGAGGGTCTCTGCGGATCGAGAGGAACTGGGACACCGGGAGCTAGCGCCTCCCGCAAGGCTTCCCGCCGCGCAGGCGCAGCGACGCGGACCGTGCCCCGCCCTGCGCGGGCGCAGTTCCAGGAAAGAGGAAAAGTGGCGCGCACTGGCGGCCCCTCCCCACCCTACAGCAGCTCGCTGACTTGGCCCCCTCCTCGGCAGCGAGAGTGGCTCAGATTGGAGCATACCAAGTAGTGACGGCCTGGGGGAAAGCATGTGGGGAGGGACATACAAAATTTACATCCTCTAGGACAGAAATGACGTTAACCCCGCTAGTCTCATCATCTCAGTCTTGGGTGTTGGAAAATAACGGAGATTTCCACGTGCAGAAAAATGTACTTCCCCCGGGGCTCTGGTGGAGAGCTAGCTCCACCCCGACAGGGCCTTTGACTCCGCCCCTCAGCCGCGGAGCCTCTCCCTCCGTCCTCGCTCATTGGTGGGCTTGTAGGGGCGGGATAGGGTGGCGGTGGGCGAGCTAATCACTCTCACTTAGGGAAAGCACGCGCCGCCGCAGTAGCGAGGGTCAAGCCGCTGGTTAGGAAGCGGCTGCAGCTGGCCCGAGCTTCTGAGGCTTACAGGCCAAACGAACAACTGGTTGGTGCTTAGACCCCTGCCGCAGCGGCGGGTCCCTCCACGTGCTTTCGGCGGCGACATGGAGCTGGAGGAGTGGGGGATCCGAGAGGAATGTGGCGTGTTCGGATGCATCGCCTCAGGAGAGTGGCCCACGCAGCTAGATGTGCCGCATGTGATCACTCTGGGACTCGTGGGGCTGCAGCACCGGTGAGCGACTGGGTGAGGGGTGGGGATGGCGGCGCGTATGCTTCTCCATCTGCCCGAGCCGCTTCCCGTGGCTGGAGTTGACGATCTCGCGGGCGCTTGAGGACCGGAGGCCGGATCTCTCTCTTACCTGGATGGGTACCTGCCTGTGGCGTCCACCGATTGCCAAGGAGTGCGCGGGGGCTACCTTGCCTCCCTGGATTTCAGCCTGTCCCCCGCAACTCTTCATGCTCTTTAGGGGCTCTCCCCTCTCTTCCGGTGTCGTGCACCCCTCCTTGGTCTGGCCAGTTTATAAGGCTCCGATTCGCTTGCCCAGTGGGGGTTCTTTCTTGACTGCTTGCGGGTTTTAATCTCCCAGAGACTGGAGCTGTTCTTGTGATAGGTTTGTGTGGCATGACTGCTGGTCCAGGACCTACAATACACCTTGAGGTTTCGCGCGGAGCCTGCAGCCACCACAAGCTTTTGTTTGCAAGGGCAGAGCTACTGGGCAGATTGTGTATTTGAACGTAGGCATAGCTGTGGGAACTTAGGGATTCAAACCCGGGGAAGCTGAATTAGCTTGGTATTCAAAAGGAACTACCGGTTCTAGATCTCATCTGAATTAACAGAAAATAACCCAACTGCAGGGAAGAGTGCATCTTCAAAAAATTCATTGGTAAACGTTTTAGATAACGAATGAAAAGGTTGGTAGTAAGGAAATGCCAAAATAACTCCCCTCTTTAAAAGAGGGAGAGGAAAGTAGTTCCTGACAAGATACACATTGACTTTGAAAAACTGATAGATCCTTTGAGTTAAAAAATAACTGCTTCTGTGATCTTTCCATTTCCTACTAACTGAACTAACTGGAAGTTGATATAAACAATTTCCTTAAGAAATATAAACCTAAGTTTGGCATTATCACTGAAAGTATTACAGTTTCCATAAGGCAATACCTCAGCAACAACTTCTAGAACAGTTAAGGAACTCGGCAATAATGCTTATGGGCAGTACGGGAGCAATATGTATAAATGTATTACAAATGATTAGCTTTCCCTCACCAAACTTAAATTAGAAGTAGTCTCTTTGCTTTTTTCAGGGTCCTGAATACTTGAGTTTGAGTTTCACATCTTGTGTACTCCCTGTTTACTAAGAGCTGAGAGTAACTTAGAATCTGGGATGAATCAAAAAGAATATTTCTAGTTTGACTTACTCTAATCTTGGATAATTGTGGGTTAACCATAATAGAAATCTTATTTTAAAATACATTTACATTATTGAGAGGATTATATATAATCCAAGGAAAAAATAAAAGCTATTCGTATGGTAGTCCAGAGCAACATTAGTTTATAACATTCTTCGGAGAAGTTATTGTGGATATTCTGTCATGGGAAGAGGTATAAAAAACAAGGGATCTTTAGAATTGCCTGGTGGTCTGTGAGAAAGAAATGAACTGACCTTGAATTTTTTTTTTAACTATTTATTTTTTAGCTAAAATAACTCAGAAAGTTCATCCCAAGATCTCCTCTTTAAATGTGTGTGTAAAGAAGAGGGGGGTGATTTTTTTTTAAATGAATAACTTCATTCCTAACTACATGCACTTTCCTGCAGTGACTTTTAAGTGAAAGAATTATGAGATTAGATAATACAAGGTAAGGGCAATAAAAATGTGATTACTACATGATGATAGAGAAAATTAAATGGATTCTATCAGGCTGCTTATTTGATGGAGCAAGTATTTGTTAAACTGTAGTATTGAAAATTGACCTTGTGATATTTTCAACAACAGTGGCAAAAAAAAACAGTAGCTTCTGGGGAAGAAAGATGTTAATGGAAAACTATTTAAATTTTCCTTGTGTAGGCATAGAATCATTAAGGTTCATTGAGAGGGCTGGTTCTTGCCCATAATCCTATCCAATCCAAAATTTTAAATTAGCAAAAGTCCTCACCCTTTAGGGAAACTGATTCTAAGAATATGAAACTTCTTTATGCCTAGAAGATAAAATCTTCTGCTTCTCTAAGCTCGTAAGTAGGGGTCGAAGGTTAAGAAATAATGTTTTTAATGGAATGGTTAAACAACAAGGTCTTACTGTATAGCACAGGGAACTATGTTCCATATCCTGTGGTACCAATAATGGAAAAGAATATGAAAAAGAATGTATGTATATGTATAACTGAATCACTTTGCTGTACAGCAGAAGTTAACCCAACATTGTAAATCAACTATACTTCAATAAAAAACTAACAAAAAATGTTTTTATATGGCATTGAATCAAGGAATGTCAAAATTAGAAGCCTAGATAGGTTGTTATAGTTTAATATAGAGTTAGTTATATACAGTGTACACTGGCAAGTGGTGGTTGCAGAAGGCTCTATCTACCTCCTCACCCTCCTCCACTCAATGGCTAGTTTTAAAACAACAGCAACAAGATTCAATTGATTTTTTTTCCCCCATTTTTTTTTTTTTTTTTTTTTTTTTTTGCGTTACGCGGGCCTCTCACTGCTGTGGCCTCTCCCGTCGCGGAGCACAGGCTCCGGACG